AGCCCGGAAGACCCACACCAGCCATCGTATGCTGGCCGTGAAAGCCTTCGACAATACATTCCTTCAGGGCTGCAAGAATTGTGACACATTATGGATGGGAAAGAGAGAGAGTTTCTTTGATTATCCCCACCATTTCCCTCCATCTGTTTATCAGACGTCAAATGATGTAGCAGGGAGCCAGCAGAATCTTACTGTTGGCTGCAGAAAAGCAGTGCCAACACATGCATGGTCTTTGTTTATATTGTGGGACTTTGGGATATTTTGTACTAGATTGCTAACTTTTCCTGCTCTGAATCAGCTGTGAAATCCTGCATCAAGCCTAGATGCCCTATGCTTGGCTCTTTGGTGAAAGAACACAACCTCCACTCCAGGAGTTTGGAGGGAGAAACATCTGACAATTACAGGGGGCTCAGACATATAGTGTACAGCATCAACACTTACCTGCTATTCTTTGCACTGAAACTGACTCTTTAATAAATTATCAGGCCCTGAAAGATTCTGGAGCCACAAACAATTTTGGAGACTTCGCAGTTGCTCACAGATATGCTCAGACACTGCCCACTGATGAAGATAGACAACATTGGTTGCAGAATCTTCCATTCATTCTAAATATACAGGATGTCATCATCTCACCATTTTTGACCATCATGAAATCTTGTAATTCTATTTCACTTCTTGTTGCATGTATCCATAGCATTGGAGATGGACTGACTTCAGATCTATAACCCACATATTCATTGGGACCAAGAAAATATCACATTTGACTTCACTGCTTGTGGGAACTAAAATCTCTTCCTGTTCTCCTCATGAATCAGCAGAACATTATTCCTGTTTTAGCAGCCAAATATTCTGATTATGTATTGTCGAAGGCTTTCACAGCCGGCATACGATGGCTGGTGTGGGTCTTCCGGGCTGTGTGGCCGTGGTCTTGAAGTCTTGTTTCCTAACATTTCGCGGAGAGTCTAAAAATCAACAAAACCTGGCTACCAATCCTGAAAAATACAGCCTGCAAAAGGTCAACGAACTCAGCTCAACCACCAGGGGAGAGTCTAAAAATCAACAAAACCTGGCTACCAATCCTGAAAAATACAGCCTGCAAAAGGTCAACGAACTCAGCTCAACCACCAGGGGAGAGTCTAAAAATCAACAAAACCTGGCTACCAATCCTGAAAAATACAGCCTGCAAAAGGTCAACGAACTCAGCTCAACCACCAGGGGAGAGTCTAAAAATCAACAAAACCTGGCTACCAATCCTGAAAAATACAGCCTGCAAAAGGTCAACGAACTCAGCTCAACCACCAGGGGAGAGTCTAAAAATCAACAAAACCTGGCTACCAATCCTGAAAAATACAGCCTGCAAAAGGTCAACGAACTCAGCTCAACCACCAGGGGAGAGTCTAAAAATCAACAAAACCTGGCTACCAATCCTGAAAAATACAGCCTGCAAAAGGTCAACGAACTCAGCTCAACCACCAGGGGAGAGTCTAAAAATCAACAAAACCTGGCTACCAATCCTGAAAAATACAGCCTGCAAAAGGTCAACGAACTCAGCTCAACCACCAGGGGAGAGTCTAAAAATCAACAAAACCTGGCTACCAATCCTGAAAAATACAGCCTGCAAAAGGTCAACGAACTCAGCTCAACCACCAGGAACTGTGCTGGTGTTTGTGAATCTCAATGGCTTCCCGGTATAGCCTGGTATAGTGGCTGTTGGTGTTGTCCAGTATCTCTGTGTTTTCAAATAGGATTTTGTGTCCAGTGTGCTTGAGAGCATGTTCAGCGAAATGTTAGGAAACAAGACTTCAAGACCACGGCCACACAGCCCGGAAGACCCACACCAGCCATTCTGATTATGTTTTGCTATGTTTTGTTATGTTTTAAATCTTATGATTATTTTATCAACTTGGTTCTAGAAGCTTGAATCCCTGCTAATTGCCCTATCCCATGTCCTCAGAAGCACTGACCTGTTTAAAGGAATTTATTGATAATAATTTGCAGAAGAGGTTTACCCATTGCCAGCACACCAACATTGTTTGTTGAAAAGAAAGATGGTTCTCTGAGAATGAGCCATGAATTCAGAATTCAGACTCTGGAACTGTTAGGTATTACTATCTTTTCTCTCATTTCTGAACTTTTGGAATGGCTACACAAGACACAATATTTTTACCAAATTTTACCAAGTTGGATTTCAGGAGAGCTTACAACCTGATTTGCATAAAGGAAATACACAAATACCTAACTGCTTTTGACACAAATTAGTATGCTGTTTTGTCCTATGGTTTAGTGAATGCTCTTTAGTCATGAGGAGATTTATGAATAATATATTCTATGTTGGAGTTCTATTTCATTCTGTATTTGGATGACAGTGATTTATTCCAAAGAGTCAGCTACCTACGCTGATTAGGTCAAGACTTTACTTGAATGGCTTTGCCAGTGCAACTTGTTTACTAAGCTTGAGAAAACTCCTTTTGATTTGTGTCTAGAATTATTTAGAGTACCATAACTCTTTTGAGGGCATCCAGATGGGTACTGCCAAAGTAGACTCTATTCTTTTTTGTCACTCCTCAAGAAATGTTAAGGAAGTGCAGAGGCTTTTGGTCTTGAAACTGTTATTCCTAACAGATTTTGTGGCTCACCTGAGAAGTTTAACCCAACTTACTAAAAGGGGGCCCCTGTTCAAGATGCACCTCTGGCTTTTCTATCACTAATACATACTTTTTACCTTCCAGCCCCTTCTCCATCCAGATCTCATTCACCCATCCATTATTCAAATAAATGCTTCTGATTATGCTTTGTGTATTTTTTAGCATACCTTAACCACCAAACTAGTTGGTCTGTTGCATCCTGTCCCTACAGGTCCTACAATTTCCTTGGATTTTATTACAAACCTGACAAGGATCTGAATGTTACATGATTGTCCAAGAAACCAGATGCCAAATTTACTGGTCCCTACCCAGGCTCTACCCATTTGCCCTTCTCCTGCAACTCTGGATATAATGAAAATACATTGGGTTTTCCAATGTTCCCTTTTGGTCCTTGATCACCTTCTGTGCTCCTTAGGTTCTATCCCACCTTCCCCTCCAGTCTCAGTTGTGGGGTACAAGGGGAAGAATTTGAGGTAGAACATATTTTGAATTCTGAGTGCAGAAGGGGAAAACTGGAATATCTGATTAACTATTCAAATGCAGACAGATCCTGGGAATGTCCATTTGGCAGTTCCATTTGTAATACTTGCCCAAACCCAAGCCTCTAAACAGGCCATTCAAACTGCTTAAAGGACTTACCAGTTCTTCAGGTTCTGTGGGGGAGGGAACCAGATTTGGACAACAGGGTCTGCTTCCTACAAGGACCCTGATTCATCTCAGCCTGGGCAAAGTGAGAGATAATGACTAACATTTTCCTTGAAATAAGCATTTCCCTTTCTAACTCTGATCCTAAGGATAGGCAATTTCCTATCTCCAGTTTGCTCCAGAAACTGTGGAAATTAATTCTTTTCTGGGGAGAGTGTTTGACCAGAAGTTTATGGTGTCAGAACTTCCATGCCTCCTGTTTCCTGTCTGGAAGAGATGGAGATTCCTCCCTCTGACATTTTGGGGCCAACGTGGAGAGAAGGGAGTAGAGATTCCTTTTTCTCTAGGTACCCTCCAACGGGAAGAGAAGGGAGGGTTAGTCCTTCAGTCTTCAGACAGGTAAAGAGATTCAATGAAGAACCACAGATCCTTTCTGAATTGGCTATCTGAGGGGGTGGGTGAGGGTGGAAGCACCAGGCTTCTGCAGGAATGAGGGAAGGGATGTCTTGAAAAGGAAGTAGTGTGAGAACACGTTCTCATAAGACTACCAGCAAATAGCCTAATACCAGATATAGGATTTGCATACATATCAGTCAGTGGAATTCTTTTGTAATAATTTAATTAACTTTGCTATTTATCAGAGCTTTTGTATTCTTGGAAGCCTTGTTTCTGCAGTTTCTTATCTAGCTACCCAAGAGAAGTCTCATACCTCCTTTTTTTTTTTTTAAAGGAACTCACATCCTTCTTGAGTTCTTTTTCTGATTAGCTTCTCCTGCCAAAGGAGTTTATTTATAATTGGTCTACTTATTGATCCTACTTACAATTGAGCCTTCTAGTTTTATGATTATTCTTCATAAAATAATAAGAAATAACATGGCTTATAAACTTCATGACCTTTGTTGTCTATACATGAATGCGTAGAATATGGGGAATAAACAAGGTGAGTTTGACTTTTTGATACAGGAAGGCAAATATTAATTAATCCTCAATTTAATAATGGTGATAATACATTTATAAATTCAAATTATTAGAAACAATAGAAAGTAGTTTTAATGTGTTTATATTTTTATATCTTTATAAATATATACATTATTTATATCTGCTCACAAGTCTAAGAGAATGAACCTGGAAATACTGTAGAGTATCTGGATTAAAATAAGTGGAGGAACAAATTAAAAAACAGGTGATCCTCAGTTAACAACCACTTGTTCAGTAACTGTTCAAACATGCAACGGCACTGAACGAGTGGTACTTAAGACTTGGCCTCAGAGTTCTGGCCTCACAGCATTCCTGCGGTCATGTGATTGTATGGTGATTCGCTTAACGATGGCAACTGGGAGTGTCAGAATTGCCATCGCTAAGCAGCGTGGTCATGTGACGTTGTATTTTACGACTATCACTTATCAATGGCAGTTCCAGTCCCAATTCCTATCTTTAACTGAGGACTACCTATAACATTGTTGGTGTCTTATATTGTCCACTCAGTCCAAATATAGTGGATTAAACTTTCCAAAAGCAAACTGCAGATCCCCAGTGATGGGGACTTTAATAACTGTTGGGAGACAAACTGCCAAGCATAGTTCTTCCAAGAACAGCTGACCATTTTATCCTTCAGAGGAGTGTGAAAAGACACAAGACACTCAGCTATCCTTGACGTGGTGTTTTGTTTAATTTTTAATTGTGGTTTTAGTATAGTTGCACAATTTATATTGTTTATGTTGTTGTTTTAATTGTGAGCCACCCAGAGTCACACTTGTGAGATGGGCAGCTATACAAATGTGATAGATAAATAAATAAAAAATAAATAAATAAATAAATAGGAAGACTTAGTAGAAATACCATAAATTTTAGGGAAAAGTGATCATGTAACACTAGAGTTCTTTATTTTAAAGGGAAAAAAAAGTGTAACCAAAAACGTACCTTGGATTTAAAAACAAATGTTAATAAGTAGGATCCCATAGCAGAAGACCACCTGAGCCAGCTCAGCTTCCAGGTTCTTGAACTTCCTAGATTTTTAAGTCCATGATTTGTACCTGTTTTTGCAAAACTAGTTGTCTCCACATGTTTTAGCATGAAGGGATAGTAACTACTGGACGTGATAAATCTTGGGAATTCTGTTGCATCCCTGATCCTTGCATATGACAAACAACACTTAATGAGATGACAGGTTCTGCTCTGCGTATATTTATTTCATTTCCTCATGGTAGTGAGTCATCATCTATCAGAACTCTTTGCGTCCTTGCGGTGCTTACATTGCAATCCTAGGAGCTGAAACAGTCTTTATCTTAAGGAAAATTGCAAAAGTTCTTTATTGCATAAGAGGGATGGAAACAGAGAATTAAGATGAATAGTTGAGTATAGAGGTGAGCAGCTACCAGCACAGCAACTCCTAGTGGAGAAATATGAAATGCAGATTTCAAGGTAAGTTTCTTAAGCAATAAGAAATTAAGCAACAAAATGGATGTTTTCTGAAGTTATGATGTAGAAAAAGCTGTATTGGAGAATACTATCCTATAGCTGTATTGTCTAAGAGCGCTTCCATATTTTTCACTCTGTATACTAAATACTTCATTTTCAGAAGCTGCAGTATTGTAGATTTCATAAGATCAGTTGGATGTGCTCTTTAATATAAATTATTTCCTGTAATCAGTAGGTTTCTTATATAACCCCTGAAGATGGATACATCATTTTTCTAATACAATTATATTCCGAATTCAAACATAATGTTGTCTTGCTCATTCAAAGTTATTCCCTTTCTCTAAAATATAACTTGACTTTATATTTAAGATTTTCTCTTTTTTTATATGCATCTGAAATTAGTAAATAATCATGTAACTAAAGAAAATACTATTTCATCATGGAAAAATTAAAAATATCTCCTGCAAAATGCATGTTTGTTTTGTGTCCTTTAATCTGCCTTTGAACTACCAAAACTAATTTCTTATTGCAAATAACCAGCGAGGCTACCAAGATTGGGCAATAGCTGTTTATCTCACATTCCTTCCTATTTTGCATTTATTTTTTCAGAGTAAAAGGGGGGAAATGTATATCTTTGGCCAGAAATATCTGCTGACCTGTGACTGTGGACAGATTTGTGTGGTTTCTACTCATTAAAGAGTCTTATGACAAAATACTTACTTCTGCAGTTGAAAGTAATAGTAACAGTAGACGTAATTATGATAGAATGTCAGGGTTTAGAAGCAGAAATGTCCATGTATTCATCATACAAATTTCTCTATATTTTTCATGCTTGCATTCAAATCTGTGTAAAAAAAAAAGAATGCCACTGGTTTAGAACATGTATAATTATAAATTTGCATGGCAGTAGTTCATCTTATAAATATTTCTGGGTTTTTTTTTTCCTATGCTTGGATGCAAATCTGTGGAAAGAATACCACTAGTTTGGAAGAGTGATAATTGAAATGTACATGTAATGTCACAAATACTGAAAGCCAAATAAAAATGAAAACAGGATTAAGATGGGAAAATAAGTTTTAAAAGACATCTGCTGGATTTCTAGTAGTCTAAGCAATATGAAAAATAACTCTTAGGGGAGTAAAAGAGACACACTTAATGATTGTGGGGAAGAGAACCGTCTGATTATGTATTCACCAGATATTTTTAATTCTGTAGGATTCTGTAGGTATCTATATTTTGGATATGAGCTTAAAGACATTTGTCTCTATCTTTAGGTTAAAAGAGTCCACATTTGATGACATCACCTCGGAGCTGCTTGAGTATTCCTTTTTCTTTGATGTTTATCTCTGTTCAGACTTAGATGTTCTTACCCTTTTCATCTTTCATACAGGTAAGCTGTTTTATTCTGGGACGGAAATGTTATTAGCATTTAGGAATAGACTTGATGTTATAAGGGCCGGCATGGTGTAGTGGTTAAAGTGTTGGACTAAGTCTAAGACTCTGACCCCTGTTGGGCATGCCTTTTCTGGTTTGAACTTCTTTGGCAATTAGTTTATCTAACATGTTCTGATTTGACTCTCTGCCACCTAGTGCTGGCTGTCACTGTTGCCCCGTGCTGCTTCCAGCCTCATCTGCAGCTGTTGCCTGGCTTGGAAGAAGTGGGAATTCTGGGGGCTGAAAGGCTAACATTCTATCTTCTTCTTCTGACTTGGCCACTTCTCAGGGCTCAGCCTAGTACTCCAGGACTTTCCAGTCCCCTCTGACTTCCAGGGGACTTGCCCTCTCAGACTTCCCCTGGCACCACTTTCTTTCTTTCTTTCTCTTTTAGTTCTTCTCTTTAACTCTTGAGCTTCCTTTTTTCCTTTCTTCTTTGTGGTGCTGCACTGCAGAGCCAAGTTTCCCCTGCCTGCTCCAGCTACATCCTTGTTTAAAGGGCTGGCTCCTCAAAAAGGTAATGATGGGAGCCTTTTAAGCCATTGTGGGAAAGTACAGACTTCCTTACCAGTGCTGTTGTCCTCTCACAGGGAGATTGTTGCAGGAAAAAGAGCACATTGGTACATCTCCTTGCTTCAAAGCCAGCTGCTTCAACTCTTTTTATTTTTATTATTATTATTACTTTTTCTAGTAATCTTTTGAATGTTTGGTGTATTCAGGGTTGATAGGTTTATTAAGCTCATACTTATTTTTCCTGCTGATCTCATCTGTGCAAATGAATTCCTAAGAACATCCTGTGATGACTCTTTAAATCAAATGTTGACTTCCCCAACACTTCTTGGGACTTAGCAAGACAGAACACACAATTCTGCATCTATCCTCCCTCATTATTTAAAATGAAAAGCAAGTTTGAAAGACTGCTGTTGGGATTGGAAAATGAAAGGGGTTGATTAAACTTCTCCTTCTGCTGTTCAGTGCTTTCCAAATATTAATTTTGCAAAGGAGAAAAGATGCTGACACTTGCTTTTCTTGAGTATAGAGTCACTCAAAAGACTTTTTTCACTGTAAGAGTTTTTCTGTGACTGTCAATCAAAAACATTAGTTCATTAGTCCTGCAGGTCCTAATCAATAAGTATGTTAACAATATAGCAGGAAGCTGTTAATCACAAAATTACACGCAATTTTAATCACAAAATTCATGTGGAAAAGCTCAGTGACTGGTCTTACCACTCTTCCAAACTTCAAATCCATATATTCATATCCATATCCTGTTGTAGCACTGGGATTCATTAGGTACCACCTTGCCAGAATTGGCTTCCTGTCTGGTCTGAAAACCTAAGGAGTCCTATTTAAGAATTCCCCCATCTCATGAGGTTCATGGAGTTGGTGAAATAACAGGCATTCTCCATAGTTACTCCCACGCTCCTGGAGATATGCTGAGCCCCTTCCTTCTCACATTCTTAAGTCCATTTTATTCCACTGTGCCTTTGGTTCTGATTGATACTGGGTGATCATTATACTTACATTTATTTAATTTTGTATTTAATTTTTGCTTTTTTTTTTTTTTTGCTTTTTTTATTTCTGCTTTTTGTAACATGGCCCATGTCTCCATGGATTGGAACAGTCAACAAATAGTAAATATATGACCAAATATACAGACTTCTTTTTCATGTCATGTCCCAGATCCTAGCAAATGACTAGAAAGTCAGTGGATCTTAAAATGTTTAAGTTTCACATGAAACAAGTCAGAGGAACTGAATGTAGGATAGAACAATAAAGATTAAGAGTATATTTTAGTTCTGATTTACTGATTGATAGTAAATTCATTAATGTCTTGATAAGCAATTTAAAGCATGTGATTATGATACCATTGTTCTTGTTACTGTTTCCATGTTGTAACTATGTTTTAATCTTTTGCTACTTCTATTACGTATTATCAGTTAAATCCAAGACAATATATAACTTTTAATCTGGTTCATTTCAAATGTGTATAAATTATTAATACTTTCTGTTGGAATATGAAACTGGTTTTACAGAATTGAGAACTATTGTGTTAATATTCAAGGTAGCAAACATTGTTTTGAATATAGTTATGGTTGTAGTACAAAATAAGATATGTCTGAGGGAAAGTCGTGGGTGCATTAGCTTCCAGTCTTGCTTTTCTAAGGTGACAGAATTCTGCTGGAAGGGTTGAGTACCATTGTTATAAACTCTGATTTTGTGGAATATCTGCACATTGGCATTGCAACTTTGTTCAAAATGTTGAAACTGGTTAAAAAGGGGGAGTAGGTGAGTCATTCTAAACTTAGTGGCAGAAATAATTCATGTGCATTTCAAGGAAGGGAATAGAAATCAATCAAGAAGCTTGAACTGATAGTGATATAAGAGAGGTATGTGTTGTGTCTATCCTCTTATCTTGAAATGTGATTTAAAGTACAACTGGGAACGTTTACCAGACTGGAAGCAGAGGGAAGGCATATTGGTGACAACTAGTGCTGTTGAGAAGGATGAGATGGCAGCAAATGTAATATATGCTTTTTAGCTGTCAGTTATAAGAAAATACTATTATGTTGCCTTTGAGGAACTGGCCAGTCTTGATCTAAGACTAAGGCATTCTGAATTGACGAAGTGCAGAAATAGGACAGAAAGAAAGGCCAACAATGAAACTTTTACACAAATATAAACAAGAGGTAACCAGGTCACATGTTTCCACCATAGTACATTGAGAGCTAAAATGTTCCAGTCCTTTAACTTCATTCTCATTGTAGATATGCAAGATTAGTGAGAGCATTGCTCCTCCCTGTCACTATTAATGACCCTAATTCTGAGGAGCTGTAAGGATGAACAAGCTGAAAAAATATTGGTATTCACTATGTCTACCAGAAGTTATATTTCAACAGGTTTGTATGAATGAACTCAATTGAAAAATATAAAGCTTGAGGTGATAGATGATTACTTGATGATGTAATAATTGAGGAATGAGCCTTTGTGCATGAACTGGGCCATAAGAGGGAGGAGTATTTTTGCATACTTGTAAGTACTTAATGCTATCATATTTGTAAATGTGGTATGATTTCAAGGAAATGCAAGCATGAACTGTACATTCATTTTCATATGAGTTGTATGGATAAAAGATTATGCTTTATTTTACTCTTGATATGTTTAATTACTGTGTGTATATATGTTTTCTTTGTAGTATTTATTAACTCCAACATGGATGCAAGCAAGAAAACAGATCCTCCAGTGTTAGTGGAATCAATACAGCAAAAGGCAAATCCTGATCGACACCCTATCCCATCCATTTACGTACCAGAACAAGGAGGTTACAAAGAAAAATTTGTGAATGCAGTGGAAGACAAATACAAATGTGAAAAATGTCATCTCATCTTGTGCAATCCAAGACAGACAGAATGTGGACATCGCTATTGTGAGACCTGCATGAGTGTTTTGTTGAGGTTAGTCATTCTTTATATATTAACTAGACTAAAAAAAAAAAAAATCTAAACTCAGGATTTTAAACTTGTGTCTCAATTCTTTCCTGTTTACTTCCAATTCATACATTAAATAACTATGCTGTATGCATTACATACTTCCAGAAAGTCAGGAACACAATCCAGAGTAAACACAGGTTAGGTTTGTATTGAGAGATCCATTAATTAGGTCGCCATTTTTAACCCAGCAGAAGATAAGTAGATCCTTCTCTCTAATGTCATGCTGTATTTGAAAGCACTCCTAATTTCAGTTGCTTCTGGAGGGCCTTAGAAAGCATGCGTGAATTGGGAGATGATTAGGATTGTACGGCACTTTCTGACTATTTGTGTTTATGATACAATGTTGAAAGGAAGGGTGTGGGTTATCTGCAAAAGAGCATTTGAGCTCTCTTTTTTTTTCTAAAAGAAAAAAAATAGGATAGCTATGAAGCATCTAAGAGATAATTTAATTTTAAATTGCATGTCTGTGATGGTGATGGTTGGTACAAAATTTATAGCAGTTTGAAATAATGCAGTGAGGCTGGAAAATTGTAATGTTCATACTTGCTGGATGGATAGAAAACAGGAATGTCACTTTTACACAAGTGTAGAAAGAAAAAATTCAAGGCTTATATAGTGAATTATTGTTTTAGGTAGTTGCTAATTGCAGGCTACTGCTGTTAGGTTCACTGCACGTTCTTTAGATACTGTCTGGGGTGTGTGGGGCAGGTGCTTGTCTGCTTGAATTCTAAAGTCCTAGAGCATTTTAGCTTCTTCATTTTCTATTACTTTGACTGTTTTGTGGTCCCATCAGTTCTTGCTTGCAGGCAACTGGTATTTGTTCCAGATCCATCCTTAAATCTGCAAATATCAGACATGTATCTTACTGACTTTTACTGATAAAAGGGATTGTGTATTACAAGGTCTCTATCTGATCATTTTCTACTACTATAAATTGTTCAGCTCTGTCAATGTTCGAATGTTACCAAAACATATATCAGGAAATAATAAATAGAGTTTAAATATATAAAATCTGGAAAGAACAAAAGGGTTTGTGGCATTTTAGTACTGAACATTCTCCTGCATTGTTGGTTTACATGAAGTTGGCATTCCTGAACAATGCTTTTAAAAATATTATTTTCAGTGATTGTATAATTGTGGTTTTTTTTCCCTTTTCCAGCTATTAAAATAAATGAAAGATATGTCATAATGAGGATTTTCAGAACTGTGGATAGTTTTTTTTTACTTCCAGCATACATGTTAACATATAATGATGAAGCTGGGAAGCTTTACTACTTCTTTGGGTCATTTGAGGATACAAATACAAGAACTACAGATGATTTCTCAGTGATGATTACTGCTCAGTAATCTCTGTGACATAGCAGTTCAAGAGAACAAACAAGCTGCTTGAGTAGATTCAGCAAGGACTAGAAGACAATGACACTTTTTCTGCTGTTTGGTCTACTGCAGAATGTAGTTTGTAGCATTGTACTTGTATCAGAGAAACAAAAAAATAGAGATTAAAAAAAAATTAAAGCCAGTGTAGAACTGTTGCTTTTAAAATACAAGGTTTCAAATTGGCTAAAAATGGTCAAGAACTGCGGTGGTGGTAGCTGTCATTCAAATGCTGGAGAAACAATTCAATATAGTAGCAATTACTGCTCTATTTTATACAAATGCCATGCCAAAACCCTGCTTGTCCACTGACTAACCAAGAATTTGGCCTTGAACTTGGGAATGCACTGCCTGGTCTGATATATATGAAATGTTACATTTTTCCAAATCATGTAAGATCATGTGGTGTAAGATTTCCAAACTATGTGGTGTAAGATCAAGTCAGGGATCTCCCATCTTTTTAGCTGATGGGCAGATTTGGAATTTTGAGTGGATTTCAGGGGTTCTCTTAAAAAATGGCTGTCATAATGGTCATGGCAATCATAAAGACTCTATTTAGCAGAAGGCAAACTAGTAAGGTTGTTTCCTTATCAACTCATCTGATCTCTCCAGTTGATATCTATTACCTCCACTTAATTCTTTTTCTGGACTGATGGCATACTTCAGCTAAAGCACTACTCTCCATTTTTATTTTCTAAGAATAAAGTAGACTTCTCTGGGGTCCAAGTGGGACCCAGAGATATTGCTGTAAATACAGATTGTATTTGAGACTGGTGTTTTGCTTCCTCTTTACTTACTTTTAAATAAAGGATCTTAAAAAATTGGTGGAACAGATACCCTGGCAGATGCCAAGAAATGTATACCTAAGCCTATGGGCTCCCATAGGTGTTACAAAGAGAACCTGTGATTTACGTTGTTGGTAAAGAATGTGCAGGCGCACAAGAACAATGATGCAGTTTTGTTTATAGAAATATACCCTGAATTGCATAAATCAAAATGTATATTAACAGTAATATTGTTCCAGTCAAGTCTCTGTCTGCTTTGTGTCTGTCTCCTTTGGTCTCTCTGTCAACATGCACCTCAAGGTTGTTAATATTAATGCATTCAACTCTACATCATTACTTATTTACATTTTCTGATCTGTCTCTATCTCATCTATCTACAAACAATTAATTGTCTAAAATCAAGGTTTTTTTCTCTTCTAGTTCCACAAGTCCAAAATGTACAGCATGTCAAGAAACAATATTGAAAGATAAGGTATAGTTTCTCTCCATAATCTTGCAATTTTGAACTGCTGCTGTTACTATTACTATTAATAACAATCTTTCTGTTTGGTTGTACTTTGAAAATCCATTTTACTATATAGCTCAATTTAGGGTTTTGTGCTATGTAAATGAAAAGGGGTTTGAGCTATGTAAATGAATCTCCACCTTTCTTACTCCAGAGTTTTCATGAATGCAGTTCTTGAATGAACAGAAGACCTGATTGAATTATTTTGGTTTTTTCCCTAGGCTTTTTTTAGATTTTTTTTAATCCTCCTTTATTATTTTTATGAATAACTCAAGGTGGTGTACATGCGTAACACACCTACCTCCTCCTATTTTCTCCATAACAACAACCCTGTGAGGTGAGTTGGGCTGAGAGAAAGTGACTGGCCCAAAGTCACCCAGCCTGGCTTTCATGCCTAAAGTGGGACTAAATCTAATTAAGTTTGGAACTTTCCCCAAAGCTTCACCTATTCAATGGTCTGGAGATAGTACTTGTCATTTCATTTTTACAATGGTTTACACAAATAGATAACAATAAGGTTGGTTACAGAATTATTTTTAAAACAAATAATATATGAACATTCACCCTTGCCCCTCTAAAATATACAAGTGTCTGGTACATGTTAGGAAAATGTTGATTGCTTGAGTGGGATGGGCAATGTTTCGATGTCCAGAGGCTGCAGTTAACATGAGGAGAGACTGGAAGATTCTGGTTTTTGAGGGGGAAGGTAACTGTGCTAAGTCTGTTTTGGACTTTATATTCATGCTTGTTTCAGAATGCTAAATATGCATTTTTCTTATTTTCATCATTATTTCTACTTGACATTCTGTTTGTTTTTAACAAAAATCTTGCCTCCAAAATAACTCCACCTCAAGCTTCCCCTGTTTGGTGCTCTTCAAATGTGTTTAAATACAACTGTTATAATTAATTTATAGAGTTAGTGACATTGTTGGCTAGAACCTGATATTGAAGTTCAGCACATATGGAGGACATCAGGTTAGGGAAAGCTGGCATAGAGTATGCTGTAAAAATTCCAAGAGCAAGGAAAAGAAATCAAGCATGACCGCCATCAGTGTCATACGACAGCAGCATAAAGAGCCACAAAATTAGCATTATATGTGTGTATTTGAAAAGAAATAAGGCTGTGCAAAGCATTCAAAACAGGTGCTTTGCCAAATGTGTTGGTCTGAATGTATAAAAACAACCATGTCCTTTGCAAGAGTCATGTGGCCGGTTCACAGGCTGTCCTCAGTTGTCTACATCTCCATATACAAACATTTCCTTTGGCAGTGCTGATGAAGAGTAGCTGTTCTTCATATGCACACACATGCCAATAGCCAAAGACAAATGTGGTCCAACCCCAGAAGCTGCAGGGGGGACACATTTAACACTAGGGCCTCCAGAAATAAATACATGTTTGCCTGCTCTTACATAGGGAAGTTGCTTTGCGTTTTGAGAATATATGTGGTATGCACACATGATTGGGAAAATACTGATTGTTCTATTAGGAAAGAACTTAGGAGTGAAGAAGGAGGACTGGAAGATTAAAATGAGGAAGCATACAGTCCTTGCCGAGCTTGATATATAGCCTGTCGAAACTGCAGTCCTGGGAATCCTGGGAGTTGCATATTTAACACATTTGGAGGACAACAGATTGGGGATGGCTGTAGTTCAGTTTGCTCTTTGCAATACTGGCCAGACAAATACTACCAGAAAACTCACTGACAGACACAAAGGTATGATATCTTTCCTGTGATGTCCTCCAGCTGATATTCAGAAAAAAGATTTGGAGGTTCCATTGAGCAGACATGGCCAATTGCATTTTGCACTACTGGAAGATGTGTAGTCTTTTTCATTTTAAAGAAGAGTTAAAATCAGATTTTGGCAACTATGAAAGTAAACACCCATGTAGCCCATGTTTCTTTACTGAAAAAGTAAGTGCAAATGCTAATGTTCTACTACTGTACACCAAACAAATGAATTGGGTGCTTTAGAGGTTATGATACTACTTCTGTGCCTGAAGATAGACCTCAACTGCTCTTCTATGGATATTAATTCAGATTTTATCTGCTTGATCTCTTCCTCTATATACTTTTTTTAGCTAGACTTGGAATTGAGCTGGTCATGTAGCATTCATCATATAGAATGTTGTTTACTGCACACTCTTGTTATCTTACTCCATTTCTCTGCTCCTTAGTCATTTGTGGCAGATCCTTATTACTCTTTATAGATTTTTTTATTGCCTCATAAAACCTACTTTAAAACCATTGGCACAAGGTCTGCTTTTGTATAGATAGTCTAAAATCAGGTTATATGTTTTGTGTTCATGTGTGTTCCAATCAAAAGAGGGCAGATAGTCCTGGGAAATATATCTTGCCTCTGCTGTGTATTTGGCAGCTAGAAACCTAGAGAACTGTTGGAGCCATTCAAAATCAATCTACAGATATATAAATAGTGTATAGTCTGGCAGTTAATCCTTGAGTGGGGGCAAAAAGACTAGAGTTGAAAGATGTGTCACTTTTGAAGCTTCCCCTTGATGGGCCACATGCAGGTAGGAGAGAAGAGTTAGTATTTCCAATTTCTATTAAATTGTGGTTCTCTATTATAGCTAATATTAATAAAAGTTGGAAGTACATAAATAGTCCTAAAGGTTGTTGAAAGTTTCCTTGGACTGAAAATCTTTTTTCTTTAAAGGAAAATCTATAACAACAAATCTTTAATGTGCAAAAAATATGTAATTGCAATTTTGTATGGTTAAAATGGGATATCTGTTCATTTTCTCACCTTTTGATATTTTGGACTAGCTCAAAAATTATAGCTCCCCATTTTATTACAAAAAGAAGAACTATTCTTATGTATAATTTTCTTGCACTTTTAGACACTGACTATAAAAAATAATAATTTGACCAGAGCAAGTACTGCATGCACTACAGTACAACATGATCTATACAAGCCCTTTTTCAAACTAAATCATCTTGCTGTGCAAACAGAAATGAAGAGGTTCTTGTTTTGTTGTCAGTTTGTAGCAGCTATAGCAATTGCCTTCAAAACTGATCTTATTCTTAAAAAAATGTTCTAAAATAGTTTCTCAGATATCATGTGAATGTATGTGTAACAGCAGTTTATTGAGCCATTTACCAGAATCTAGCTATTTGCATCAAGCAGGTCAGTGCCAAAGTAATAAACTTTTAGACCATTGCTAAAATTAAAAATATATTAAATGTCTCTAATTCTAGATATTTAAGGATAATTGCTGTCGAAGGGAGCTTCTTGCCCTTCAGATATTCTGCAGAAATGAAAATAAAGGTTGCCGAGATCAACTGACCTTAGGACAGTTGCTGGTAAGTAGCTGAAAACCTTCCAATATGTTCTTTCTCTCTCCCTCAACCCCCTTTCATCACTGAATGGTGGATTATATGATTTGTTGTGTTCACTGAATCTAACTTACACATTGTTTTAACCTCCCCCCCCCAAAAATCAAAGGTTGTAATGTAATGCATGCTGTCTGGAGAATTCTGGGAGTTGAAATCCACCCGTCTTAAAGTTGCCAAGGTTGAGAAACACTGTTCTAGACCAAGGTTTCTAAACTTTATATAGCTAGGGAGTGTGTGTCTTTTCAGTACCTTTTTTCATGGCTTGTTGTTGTTGTTACTTTATGCACATGCAAAATGGTGGCTGGTTTATACATATAGATAAAGATTTTTCAAACTTAGGTTATTCAGTTGTCAGTGCTTTGATTGAAGACTTCAGAGGAAAGCTCTGCCTTTCCCCTGTGACCAGAATGCTGGTGAAATTATAACTACAGTGATTTGGTTGGAGGGGAAAGAGAGTAACTATTTGTATATTTCCTAAGGACCGATACTACTTTTTTTTTTTTTTTTAACAAGGCTGGTACCAGGCCACACTTTGGGAAACACTACTCTAGACTATAGTAATATTCAAGCATGCAGTAATAAAGAATACTCACCATTCAAGCACTCCAGATAAGCCTTGCCAAAATTGCTCAAATATCATCAGCCCCTACAGGATATCTATTCATATAACAGCACACACATCTGTGGGGAGAAAGCCTTCTCATGTATAACTGCATACACATTGGCTTCCATCTGAACAAAGATACTTAATCTGCACTTGAAGGTTAGTGTGAAGATGAGAAATACAAAGTCAAATTTTGCATTTCTCCAAATGTTGCTCCAAAAGCTCACTCAAAAACATTTAGATATTCATGTTTTCAGATAAAACATATTTTGAAGTGCATGAATTTAATGCATGAGCTTTTGTTGAGGGTTTTTTTTTTATGCAGATACTACAACAATGGATAGAATAGAGTTATGAATGAATATGTGCAGATTCTGACCTCTCTGTTTAAATCTATCAAGCCAACGAAAACTAAAACTATTTGTCTGAAATATGATGGGGTAGCAGATAGTATTTATCAAATTCTAATTGATTTAACTATATGATCTCATATGTAAAATAATAGATTGGCAAGAAAAAAATATACTCAAAACACAGTGAAATCTACTATTGTTGGATACTAAATTCTTAAGCACGAACTCCACCCCCAAATATACTATGGTAGGTACCTTTGTCAACACTTTAGAAGTTAGTATCATATTTTAGCACTGTTCCGGCAAGAAGATCCAGATGTTTCAAACTTCTGGGTGGCAATCTCAAATTTATTGGCAACCAGGTGTTTGAGTTTTTCTTCTGAGCTGCTAATATTAACATATATTTTTTATGTTCAGGCAAAAACAAGGGAGAAGAATATTTGTAATTTCTTTCAATCACTAAATATGGTTAATAAGATTTATTATCTTTAAATTGATAAGTAAAATAAATGTATTATCTTCAGTGTATTGGTAACCTGGTACATGTTGCTTTCAGACACATCTAAGAAATGAGTGTCTCTTTGAAGAACTTCCATGTCCTCGTACTGATTGTAAAGAAAAAATACTGAGAAAAGACTTGCCAGATCATGTAGAAAAAAACTGTAACTATCGGGAAACAACATGTAAATACTGTAAAAGCCAAGTACCAATCATTATGATACAAGTAAGTATGTCTCCTTAGAAAGCAAAACAACTTTTCAGGAAACCATGTATGGTGAACAAGGTTTTTTGAAGAATCTGGGAACCTTTAAGGCAGACAGCTCATTCAATGCCCTACTTGCTCTCTAAATATAACGTCAGTGGACTTTTTTCTCCATTGTTTCTCATTCATTACAATTAGTGGTCCAGTAAATGGGATTGAATGGCAAAAGCCCAAAACGTTGATGTCTCCTAAGATCAGTTTTACTGCTTTGATTGAAAAGTGGAAGGATATTTTTGATCAGATCATTTCAAATAGATAACCATGATTTGGATAGGAACCTCTCCAAGTATAGGGTCCAGAGCAATTGCCTCCCCAAAGGCTGTAATATTGAAAGTCTTTTAAAAAGTTTATGAACTGGGAAGCATATGCCCTAAGAAATGATACTGCAGCATATCAGCTTCATTTAGAACATTTGGGAATTCAGGTTTCTTAAAATTTTCAATCTGTTGGATGGCAAAATCAGCATCTAATGTAGGGAATCCAAAGGAATGCTCAGTAGCTATCTTTGTTTGGGCAAAATATCAGAAAATCATACCATTTTTGTAAATTATTTTAAGTAGATGAGAGGGAGCTCTCATACAATAGAGGGAACCAACTGGTTTTTTGGAAGCTTTTTTGGTATGGTCACAAATTCCAGGTCTTCAAAATGAAGAGGGAGGGAAGGAGGTCTTCTTGTACAAGGCTGGGGGTGTAATGAAAGCTATCCAAATAAAATTTTATATTTTTCTATTTTTGATAATTCAGACATTCATAACCTCTACATGTTCTGCAAAGTAGGAAATCCCCTTTATGTTGAGGATTTTCAATTGAAGGAATAATGATTCTTCCAGAAAATAATACCTTTGGCACTGATTTTTGATGTTTTTATTTCAGTAATTTAAAAACAACAATACATAATTGTATGTTGGGAAGGGCAACTTTTCTTAATCTGATGACCACATATCTGCCAGTTGTGGCTGTTGATTACCATAGTAGCAGCATTAAAACCTTTAATCTTGTTTCTTCAGAGATTTTTTTTTTTTTTTTTGCAGATTTGGGGGTTTAGTAGGACAAAATGGGTGTCTTTAGCCTTCCAGAGTCTTATATTTTGTACTTAACCTTCTCAGATATGAAAAATCAGCCCAGTTGTGCAGAGTTTTGTATGTATTTTTTAGAAAAGAAAGGTATTAGTAACATAGCCACATTGGAAAATACATTTTGCTTCAAGCTTGAAACAAAGTCCTGCTTGAAACATTCTGTGCTGCCTATGTTCTGGTGGAAAAGAACTTGAAATGTTCTGTTGGAGCCAGATTTGCAATGTTTCAAGAGTTCTGAAGGAAGCAATAGGAAATTATCATGACTGCCTTGCTGTCTTCTTTTTATCACAGTGCTGCAAAAATAGATGAGATGGTCAAGTTGCAGAAAAATCAGCCAGAATTTTAAAACGATCTGCGGTAGGATAGGTTGAACCATTTCCAGGGTTCTCAGTAGAGAGAGAGAACCAATCTCCAGATAGTTGAGCAACCTCCAGAGGTGCATCATCAACACAAAGAGATCAGTCTTCTGTATTCATTTCATTATCAGTTAACAGGCATATTAACAGAAGCAAGCACCAAGACCCTGGAAAATCTAGAGAAACCTAGCTAGTCAGAGAGTTGTTGGGAATAGGGTGGCATAAAATTTAATAAATTATTATTAGTATTCAGTGCAAATTTTTTTTGTTTGTTCTATAAAAAAAATTAACATCGCTCTGCAGTAATCAACTGTTGTGCCTACGACACACAGACACGCATACACACAAGCATTAAAAAGTGATATGTACGTGTATACGTATCTCAGAACACAGCAACACACACACATACTGTACACACAGACACACCCTGCTGTACAACCAACAAGCAAAATGCATTCTGAAAAAAATTAAGACAAGGTAAGAACATTCATGAACATATACTTTCAGACAATAGAACTCAAGTTAATGTATATTTTGTTTGAAGCTTGGAACACTTGAAATGGGTTGGAGGAAGAAACATTTTCTGCATCTCTAAAAGGCATGTATTTTGGTGCTGAAAATAAATTATATTGGCTTAGGTTATAAATTCATGTTATCTGTTTTAAGAAACAGGTTACTTCCTCACAACTTCATTTTTTCTCCATATCTCAAGTATTGATATATGAAGTGGAGGCTTTTAATATCCACACTTTGCAAGAACATGACATGACTTTTCCTCTTGTCTTCCTCTTAGAAACATGAAGATGCAGACTGCCCTTGTGTTATGGTTACATGTCCTCATAAGTGCAGTGTTTCAGCACTCCTCAGAAAAGAGGTAAAACATCATATCGCAGAGCTGTTTATAACATCAGATAACATGCTATATTATGTTACTTAGTGTAGAATGTTGTTTGTTGTAATAGTATGCAAGAAATTTGCCAGAAGCAGCTCCAATACATTTGAAAAACAAGTGAACAGGTCTTCTGTTGCTGAAATTAACTTTAAAGGTATTTCTAAACTCCCAGGAAATAATGCTGCAGTTTTCTAAAATTAAATCAAATTAAAATAAATAAATAAATAAATAAATATCTGCAGTGGTTGCAACAATTCTTTCCCTTTAGCCTTATTATAAGCTGCATTAGAATTCTTAATTATTGCAGGTATCAGAAGAACTTGTTTGTGTTTTGTAATGTTTACATTGTATAGGAAATTTTAAGTATTAGAATTGTGTAAATGCTTGGTAAATTTAGAGCTTTTAGACTCTTAGGGTGACATGAACAATGGAGTTCATAATCTGTAGTCTTTGCCACATAACTTGCATTAATCAGTCATGATGGCAGAATAATTTCTAAGAAAGCAATACACACACAAACACATATTTATTTCCTCCAACACTCTCTTTGATTTGAGAAGCTATTTGTACTGGGAGCTAAAGTAATATACATGTAATATAACATAATATAAAGCCCAAATACCTATATCTTGCATTTTCTGAAACCATGTTAAATACGACTCAGTCATGCAGTCATTGGGATGAAAACTCAGCCTGAGATGAAATTTAAAAATTACCTTCAGAGGTGGACATTTTTTTTTTTGGTCTGTCTGAGCAAAAGTCAGTGCAGGTGACAGGTTAACCATTCATTGTCAACACTTCTCCAGTTCTTTTTAATGATTTTATTCCGACATTTCTTTTCCAAGCCACCTCCAAAACTAGAAATGTCCAAGGGCTAAAAAAAAGCCTAGGAGGAAAAATTTGGGGAGATTATTTAGCATTCCATATCCTACCAAGCAATTTTTTCTTTGCAGTTTGAATGAACAGTAATGCCTTGCATTACTATGCAACTGTTTGATTGAAGTAATGCGATGCTTCACCTTCAGTGTATATAACTATAACCATGTTTATTGACATTAATTAGAATAATTTTTATGATGGTATGATGAGTGCATTTATTGGTCTGAGGATTAATATGGATGCCTTCTTTTGGTAGAACGTTTAATAGAGGTCTACTGGCTCAATGGAAACTGGTTTGAAGCAGGGAGGGAAAGATTCAGAAGATGTATTTGAGCTATGTGTAGAATATTCATCCCACAATGCTCAGTATTTATGTTGAAGTTGTTAATAGGATTTGGTGGTTTCAGTACTAACTGGGAAATAGATTTGTCTCAAGTGAAAATTGGAAGGTGGGGTGGAAGAGAACATATAACAAAGAATTTCATATGTGAAATAATCTGGCTGCATGTTTTCCAGAGTCTGGATTATAATCTCAGAGGAGTTTTGAGCTCTAAATTGAATTGTATTCTGCTTGATAGTTAAATGCTTTGGAGAAGTGTTTGAAGCATTACAGAAAGAAATAGTGCACAGATAGTGTGAGATGATCTGTATGCTAATGATTTGACCAGGTTTTGGAATGAGAAGGTAACTAGATCATTTAGTAAACTCAGAAGAAGCCATTACAGTTGAATAAGCTTACGAACCAATATCATAGTTGAGGTTATGCTTTTGAGAGAGAACTTTACTGAGTTAAGTTATGAAGAAAGTTTATGTGAAATTCTGAAGTAGCAGAAATAGCTAATCTATATGGTTGCCATTAGCTCCATCCTATTGCTTAAGTCATCTGCCATACCAACAGTGAAACAGTAATCTCTTCCACTGCTTTGAAAAAGCTCCCACTAATATGAGAGCTAGCTCCAACCAAAAAATAAATGTAGTACAGGGGTGTCTTTCCTTCTAGGAAGCTGACCAAGTAAAGTTGTAAGGTCTGGAAGGAAAAGTAATTTCTAGATTTTTGTTCAGGAAAATGAATTTGTGCTGTTTTCCTTATACTTGACACAATTTTCTCTAGGATGACGCCATTCAACTTTAAGAATTTACTTCTTGGGAAATATGGAGTGGCTGTTTAAAAAAAATTACTGTAGGAAGTTGTGTTTCTTGGATTTTTTTCCCCTCAACTTCTGTAGCATCTTTTTAAAAAATTCTTCATTGTTACAAAAAGGGAGGCATACCTTATGTTACCTCCAGTTATTCTTACTCTGATGCTGTAGAGCAAATCTAAAACTGTTTCCCCTCACACATCTACTATATGCCATAAACAAGAAGTTGGGTTGTGAAGATTTTAGACTCCATGATCCTGAGTCATATCTCCATTAGTTGTAAGTAGAGGGCTGAGGAACAAGGCATGTTAGAGACTACAGATGCTGTATGGGACAGCGAGATTTCAGTATAGGCTGTATTCAGTGATGCTTTAGAGGATCCAAGAGCTTTTTGTGGAATAATGAAGACCATTCTTTTATTTACTACTTGATCTTTTCCTGTCTTATATCTACTTTGTTCTCAACTGCTCTTAACTGTTAGGATAGTTATATATATCCAGTGTGAAACAACATCTTGTTATTTAAACAACTTTTATTTCTATGTGCTGCTTCAGTAAATATCAAAATTTAATTTACAAATGTACATGTTTGTTTCATGCAATATTTGTTTGAAGTCTCTGTCATAATGTTCTATTTTCTTATCACTGGAATTTTGCATGAAAATCTGTTTTGAATTAAAAAACTGGGAGGAGGTCTGAAGGGGAAGGATGTGCATTAATACAGTGAAACCTCTATCCAGAATGATTGGCCCATAAGGTTACTTAATGTGCCTCTTGAAAAATTGGCTTTTTAGTAAAAACACACCAACATCCTTTTGAAATTAACTGAAATGATTATGAGATTAGGTTTCACTGTAAATGTGTCAAATCTGTATATTCTACTGGAATGTTCCTGTGATTACATGTATATGTGTATACCCTCAAGTACAACTGGAGGTAATATGAACACATGGTTTTAAAACATACCAATCAACCACACAATGCACAAACTTGTATTGCATCCCCTATATATTTTTATTCTTATTGTGCATACATTTTCCATCCCCCCAAAAAAACTCACATTTTTTTCCTATTACAGTTGAATGCACATTTGTCAGAATGTATTAATGCCCCAAGTACCTGTAGTTTTAAGCGTTATGGCTGCACTTTTCAGGTCAGTATATAATGATTTATATACTTGATGAAAGTCTGCAATAAGAAAATATTATTAATAACTCTCTGGACTGGACTTGATGTCTCTTGTTATCCATGAAGAGAGAATGCATCCAGTTGAGTGATTTAAAACTACGTATTGGATCTAATGTCCTTTTTCTTTTCTTTTTTTTTCATACTTTAGAAATTTAAATGGTTTAAAGAGTTTTGAATATCAAATTTAGAATATGCAAGACACATTTTTAATTCAAGAAAGCAGACTGTGATTATTTCAGTTGTTTCAGATACATTTTTCTTCAGAAAAGAAACATTCCAATTCTTCCTGTTTGAGTGGGATCAAATCCATAACAGGCCAAGAACTGTTGTGTAAACTTTGGCTATTGCGAATTTCACTTTGATATATATTCCATATAGATTCAGAGTTTAGTGGATTGTGTTCAAGAAAACTTAAATACATTAGCCTAGTATGACTCTGGCAGCAATCTTAATGTATATGTGAATAGACTTGTTGTCTAACCCTTGAAAATAAAAATTAAATCAGCAAAAACAAATTAGTATAGTAGAAGATGGGCTTTTTATAGCAAGGCTATGTTGTGTATATATTTTAAGTACATGCAGTACACATTTTTCTATAAATTGCTTATTTGATATCACTGTTAAAATCCAACAAGAGAGTTATATTAAGAAGGATACGGTAAAGTGTAGCTCACTCAAATAAAAACCCTGCATGTCTTTTTTCTCTTTCCAAACTAATGTAGCTTGCAGACTTGTGACTTGTGACTTAATTTTATTTACTTGAATATTAACTGCCCCTTTTTAAATCCAAAGCCGAATCCACAAAATCCTATGTCTCCCATAGTTTACTACTTTTCAATATTTTGGGAAGGAAGAATAGTATAATCCAAGTTCCATATAGAGCTACAGTTCTCATTGTTTAAAATTGGGTTATATTTCTCATGTAGCCATGTCATAAGTTCAGTAAGAAGGAACAAGACAAATGAACTATCTTCTTCTAAAAAATTCTAAATACCGATTGGCACTGAGTGCTTGATAAAGTGAAAACATTCAATGGTTTGCATATAACACAATTGCTCTAAGAAGAAATAGTCTGTCGTGTTAGCATTGCTTCCTGTTCCTTTTTTATTTTTATGTTGTGTGTTTGAGTATATGTATGTGTATACATATAGTTTGAATATATTAAACACAATGTACATACTGACATTTATAAAAATACTACATTTGCAACTTAATCTGCATAATACTTCTTTATCAAAATGTCATATGTACTAAAAGATAGTATGACAGAAATGAATGGCAAATATGGTCTTTTCCTTATGTACTCTCTATATTATTTGTTCTGTAATTATCTTATGTAAGATGGGGAGATGTATTGTGTCTAACAGCATTGAGGTGTTGTGAGACCTCTTTAGAGCAGGAAATGAACTCTGTTAAAGCAGTCAGTGCTACTGTTTCTGGGATTGGTGAATTAGGTCTAACTTTTTTCATTTTGATCTATTCAGCTGAAACTGTTCGTCTGTGTACAAGAGCATTTTGATAATCTAGAAATTTTGAGATCCAATCCACCAAGTTCTGCTCCTATGCAATTTTAATGTAACTAAGAAAATAACTGCTACAACTATTGCCCTTAAAACCACACCATTAATAATGTCCAACTGCCTGTCCTTTCTATTATTCCATCCTGCAAAGAAGGTAATAGAGTTGAAGCTCAATTTTTATGACTTCATGGACATATCCATGTAGCTTTCTTGACAACAGTAGAGATATAATTTGCCATTGCCTTCTTGCAAGATGAAGCTCCACCCACCTCCCCAAAGCCTACAGGCCTCAGATCTGCTGATGGTCTACCAAGGCTGACTATACTTAGTTTTTGAGATTGGTCAAGGTCAGCTATGTCCTGCCACAGAACTTTAAAATCTTGCAGACATCTCAGAGCCATTGGTCTTCCCATCTCAACCCTACATAATCAACTAAATTTTTCTAGGAAGAAATCACAGAAATCCACAGAAGGAGGTATACAGTGGCATATTGTCACTGATAACTTTATTCTCTGTGAATTTGTCTAGACTCCCTTTAAGTTGATGTCTGTCACATCTTGTAGCAGTGTGCTCTATGAAACATTTTTTGGTTTGTCTGACTAAATCTCCTGTAAATCATCTTAATTGGATAACTCCAGTTTTACTAATGTGAGAAAGAGAAACATGTCATCCCCCCCCCCCCATTTGTAAATACCATGTATAAAAATTCAAGAGGTGCAGTGCAGGATGCTTTCCCAGGGAAGTTGACTATAAGGATAAGAGAACTTAACGTTTGCCTGGTAAAAAAGTCAAAGGAAAAGATGGTTTAATAGAGTATGAGTAGATGGTTCATAATTAATCTTTTAAAGAAATATTGGCAACATTATAGAAAGGTAAGGTTCTTGCCACCTTTTTAAGATAATTATTTGCTACAGAGCAGCATTTGGTGGATTGATCTTTAATTGTTCAAAAATATATTACATAACCTTCAGTTAGATAAATGATTCTGAATGTGATTTGAAATAGTTGTTGTGTTTTTAAACATGCAGGAGGAATTTTTGGCCCTTCACTAATTATTGGAACGTTGAATCTGTATTATTGTTTGTATCATTTTGTTATTAAAATAGGTCTCCAGTAATATGTTTGAAAATGCATCAGTGGGTCAATATATAATATTGTTTAATTGTAGATGGGCCGATGCTACATTTCAGTGTAAGTTTTGCTAAGAAATGAAGCAGGCTAAAATATATTCTTTGTCACAGGGAACAAATCAGCAAGTTAAAGCACATGAAGCCACCTCAGCAGTGCAGCATGTAGACTTATTGAAAGAGTGGAGTAATTGTCTAGAAAATAAGGTACATCTCCTGCTCACATTATCTTTCATATTTAATATATTTTACTAATTGAGCACAAGTAAAATTCTGGAGTGTGGAATGGCAACCTAAGTACTGTTCAGTTTCAAAGGCAACGAAATTTTAACTTCAGGATTTAAGACCAAATCCAAACTACATTGCATCATAGTTAAAAATAAATATTGAAAGAGGTTTTTCAAGAATCAGTGGCATATTCATCTTGTGCTCTTAACTGGTTGCTTCTCATAAAGTATTTCCCATTGGTTCATTTCATAAAAAAGGGGGTTGCGGGCTTTTAATAATAGACCTAAAGACTTTTATCATTTACAGCTGATTAACAGTCTCTAAGAGGCTGTGCCAGAAATGTTACTGCGTTTCTGTTTGTTTGCTTTTTTATTGCTCACAGAATTGCAATGCATCATTCACAGAATTAATTTCTGCTATATTTTATTGCAAAGTAAGTTTTATCCATTTATTCTACTTGTTGGATCATGAAATTGCATACTTAAACTTCTCTATAATAGTTCCACTCAGTCCAGACGTTTTTCTTCCTGTTCTTTCCCCTTTACTCCCCCAGACAGAATAATAAATATACTAATAATAGTAGCACGCTCCACCATACACATTTTTTAAGATTGGACTTCCTGAAATACACATTATCAGTATTCTCATGTTCTATTACAATGAAATAAACCCTCCTATCATGATGTTGGCTTTCCTGCATATCCTAATAACAGAAGAAATCATTATTTGCCATTTAATAGGAATATTCAAGATGTTAGCTAAATCAATTTGATGTGTTACATGTTGATTATTACTTTGTGCACGTCTCAAAATCACTAGTGCGCATGCAGATGTCTGAACCACTTGTGTGCCTTCTCACAATGCCTTAGGTATTTCAGAGAGAAGGGATGAGATCACTGCTGATATTGAAATTACTCTCCTTTCTACCCCACCCCTATCCCCAATCAATAAGAGAGAAATACCAGGGAACATCCATACTTTTAGAGAGTTGTGCTTCTGTTTTGGTATTTCTGATTAAATGGGTTGTCTGTGCTCCAAGAAAAACAGACAAAATGGAAAGATGGAATAAGAGATCTTCTACAATGTATGCAATATTAACAATTCCTCTGGAAGTAGCCAAAGTCCTCAACTATCTCATCAAAGTACAGTTGCTATTCTAATGTTCTGTAAGCCTAGAATATCTCAGTAACATAATAGGAAAGATATAAAAGCAATGTTTTCTGTCCAATGTGGCTCAAAAGTAGAAGTAATATCTAATACCACTGTGCAGCTCTCCAGACTGAAGTCAAGAAGGTGCTTTGAAATGCATAAGGATACTCATCTCACGTCCATCTGTAGTAGCTTAAAGGAGATTTGTCTTTTCCCAGTATTGTGTAGCTCTTCCCTCACAATCCTGAGAAAAGATGTGTTTAGTTTAGGGAGCTGCAAACACATACTCTGAAACATCTTTTGCCTTTGAATCTGACACATAAGAACAGCCCTAGGGCATGGCATATTTAAAGTGCAATTAAACAATTGTTTCTTCAGAAACACTGACTTTGCTATTTCTGTTGGAAATCAGTTTTGTATGGGTAGAAACAAGTTACAAATTCAAGTTTTTTTATTTTTCAGAAGTGTGATGTCAGGGCCTTGTTGTTTAAGAAAAAAATAGAATGAAACTGGCTTTCAGCTATCAGTTATAGGTCATCTAAAGTGAAATTTGTATCTGATTCTTTTCTTGAATAAAGCTTTATAAGTGATAAAATATTTCTTTTAAAATACTTTTCCTTAGACCTGGTGCTCCCTAGTTATGTTGGATTTCAACTCCACTGATTCTCAGGTAGCATGGCCTTTGATGAGAATTGGTCAAAACATCTGGAAAGCACCAGTATGGGAAAAATGGCCTGGGACATAGTAATAGGCATTTTTTCAAAATCATTTGCTCAGATAATGCGTGACCTGGCTTCTGATAATAATTTCTGAAACATTCCATTATACGGTTGTCTTAATAAATAGGCAGAATATGAAAAGTGTCACAGGTTATTATGTTATGGTGTTGTATATTTGGGGACCTGTTAGATTCCAAGTCCTAGCTGCCCAAGGCAATATAGTCCAGTAGTCAGTGAAAGTGGAGGTTGCAGGCCAAAAACAAATGAAGGGCCAGAGATTCCAGCCCCATATTACATGCAAGAAGTGTCCATATACAGGAGAATCTAAATATCTTTATATGCATCCTTTCTAAAATAGTCAGGAATCATTTCATCTCTTACATATTATATTGCCTTTCATTTTGTGTTGTTGCTTTGTCATCGTAAACTGAAATATGTGAAAAGGTATTGTGGGTGTGCCCTGAGAGGATTCTAGGATAAACACTTATTCACAGAGCTGAGATTAATAGGAAAACTTAGTCTGAATATACAGTACTACTTCTAGGATGTCAAACGCTACTTGTGTGATACCATCTAGGAAGGTTACCTAATCTGCCTGAGAAGTGAGGCTGGCTCTGAAGCTATATGAAATAAGCTAAATAAACTTGTTAGAGTTTTGCTGTGGCTTGGACATACATTGTCATTGTGTTTCTGTACTTTCTAAAGTTCAGCTTTCTGCAAATACTGTTCGGGTTTCGGAGCAAGGAAGCAAGAACTGTTGGGAGACCACACTTTTTTTTTTTTTTTACAAAAAAGGGTTAGTTGGTCTTAGGCCGTTTGATTACTTATGGTAAAAATTGATACTATCTTTTGTATATACTGGTGTGTTTTTACTGTTATTGATAGTAAGTGCCATATTGGATGGATCACAGAAGTTTATCCTTAGCAGTTTGCAATATGATTTACATGGACATTTTCTTTAGTTGCTTTCTGTTTCTAATACGGTATATAGAACATGCCTTTGGCAAGACAAGGGGGCTGAATTCCAGGTGCGAGGTATTTTTAAGGAAGAAAAGCACTGATGAATCATGTGGAAGTTCTTGTGAGTGATGCATGCTGTGAATAAACATGCTAGTTAGCAATTCTTTATGGTACTGTTCAAAAGTCTAGAAAGTTGGCTGAGAATTTTAAGAAAAAAACAAAAGCATGGATTGATACTTTCAATATCAACAAGGCATTTCCCTCCTCTTTCATCTTTTCCTTTGTGTGATTTCATTCATAAAATTATTGTAGGCTGATCTTGGCTTTCATCATTTACTTGTAGGTTCACTTAATTGCTACATATATAGTAGCTTCAGTCCTGGCCACAGAACTAATCCGTAGTGGATTTATTCTGTTTAAGAGATAAAGCAGGATGATACAACTACCATCATTCTACTTCTTTTGCAATTAATTGACCATGAGAGATAGCTGATACTTTTCCACATTTGGAGGAGTAATTGTAGAATTTTTTTCAGGTGGCCATGCTCCAGAATGAAAGCTTGGAAAAGAACAAGAGCATACAAACTTTACATAATCAAATTTGTAGCTTTGAAATAGAAATTGAGAGACAGAAGGAAATGCTGCGGAGTAATGAATCTAAAATACATCACTTACAGGTAAGATTTTGTCTCTTCCTCTGTAAAAAAAAAAAAAAGCAGCAACCATTTTCTTACATTTTGGTTTTCATGGTGAGGTATAGTCAAGTCAAGTCTGCAAACCTAAACACTTCCCTAGGAATAAGCTATTTCTGAATATGTATTCAGAAAAACATGGCTGTGCAATACAGATACATCTTGATGGTTCCTTCTTGGTCATCTTCATGCAGTTATGTTATACACACACACACAGAGACATATGTATGTGTGTGTTTATTTTTTCACTAGACAAAAACGAATGAGTTTCAGCATTTGTCCAAGGAAGAACTCTAACCCCCTAAATATATAAAAGGGATAGGAATTATAGACAAGTTTTATTTTAATGAAAGGAAACAAGTTCTTCATTTTCATTTCAACTTTCCTATCATTTGAGTTCTCAAGAGATTAGTAGATTGCAAAGTCATTCATTAAATTGTTTCTAGAAAGTAACTTCATCTGGGCTCATATACTGTGCTAAGCCATGTTGTGGTTTATTTGATTTTAGCTTAGTGCAATATGTGAATCCCCCTCTGAGATATGGTGAGAATATTTATCATTGTTTGTAAATCCAAATGTATTTAAATGTCACTTTTCTACCTCAAATAGCAGCACTCATTTATCAATGTTAATTACACATGTATTGTATATATATTAGCCTGGTTATAATTGTTAATAATTTTCCTTTCCCCAAACCAGTGGGTTAAAATAATAAGGGTATAGCTCTATATCATTTTATTAGTGCAGAACAAATTGATTCTTTTTGATAAAGGAAATACATTTTGGGCAACTTTTTTAAAATGAATTTTTGGGGAGGGAAGCAGGACATAGCTCAGTTAGGAATGGCTATGTGATTTAGCAGTCTACTGAGGTCATATTCTAGAACATCGTCTTGTTCAGCAATTTTGTATCTTTTTTAAAATTATGAGAAAATGTAGCATTTCCACTGAATTTTCAAATTCAAATTCAAAATTGAAGAAGAAAATAATTTACTACTGCCACTGGGTTACAGTAGTTTACTTTTTTGTATGGTTCTTTCATGATTCAATGAACTAAAAAAGTTTGAGAGCCTGTTTCCTTTTTTTATTCATAATGGTGGAAATTTGAGAAAAGCACAGTTCTTCGTCTATAGCATCAAACCATAATTTCACTGTTTCTGCCTGAGCTTTGAGCTCCTCTTTTCTTCTCTCTTCTGCATACTAAAATTGCCTCTCCCTAGCTTGCTTTTACTTCCAAATTAGGCATAGTTTATCAAACAACACAGAAGGGAAGATGTGTCTTCTCTTGCTCTCCTTCTAGATCAAGAAGAAATTATTTGCCCTGGCCAATTATTTTGCAACCTCATAGGTACAACTGATTAAATTAAATTAATTAATTATTTGCTTAAATATTTTAACCAAATATTAATATGGCTGGGAAATATTATAATTTGGAACTGAGCAGGAGTTCCCATCAATGGTGGGAACTGATAAGGAATGATTCTTGAAATTACTTACAGTTTTCTCTTCTTTTACCTGCTATAAAAATGTAAATACTGTATAGAACATTATATCTGGAGCAAATATTGTATCTAAAATACAAAGTTGGTTTTGAATAATAATACTTGTCATTTCAAATCCTGTGATTGCAATTGCTTCTGGTTAAAATTTCTGCTCTTTTAAATTGTGTGGGGCAATGTACTAGAAAGAAGCCAGACTAATGCCTGAACTTCAGCACATAAATGTACTGTATTCTGTAATGGTGATGGCAATGTTTTTCTCCAGATACACTTTGATTTAGATAAAGTAGGAAATAATGAGTTTCTAGAACTGAACTTCTTAATGAGGCAGAATTCTTACATAGCTTATTATTCAAACTTTAGTCATTTATGCTAGTCCTTCACTCAGTATTGAAAGCATTGCTAGTTGTAAGGGGCAAAAGTCCTACTGATATACCTTGGCCCATTGAAGACCAAGAATCAGACTCCTTTCATGATGCACAATACATTTATATTTTACAGAAGTGGAACTGGTGCAGTTGGAGAGGAGCAGGGAACACATTTTGTAGTATTTTTCCAACCCAAGATTTTTCTCAATCACATACTTGCTGGCTATCACAACTCTGTTTATTTTGCCTGGCCAAAAAGAATATAGCAATGTGCCTCTTTTTCACATTGCAACTGTAATAGTAGTATTGCATTATATAAATGTTTCAGTAAACTTCCTGAAATGGATATAAACGCATACCAAAAATAATTGTTATATTGAAAATTGATTGAAAAGAGTTGCTCAGATTTGTAAGTTTGCTTAAATTTTATTTTCACTTAACTGTTTTGCATTAATAAGGTTCATTAGATGGGTGAGTTATACCAGATGTGGCACTAGGCATTCATGTTTTGTTTATTTGAAATCCTTATATAATTACCATGAAACTTCTTTAAACAGTATTAAGTGTTCCCTGTATGTTGCTTTCCTTGAGGTTCTTCTGTGTTTATGCAATTTACTGTTTTCTAAAAGCGGGTAATAGATAGTCAAGCCGAGAAGCTGAAAGAACTAGACAAGGAGATTCGACCTTTCCGACAGAACTGGGAAGAAGCAGACAGCATGAAGAGCAGCGTTGAGTCCCTCCAGAACAGGGTGACTGAGCTGGAAAGCATTGATAAAACTACTGGGCAAGGAGCTAGAAACACAGGTAAGTTTAAATATGAGATAGTAAAATATTGGCAAATTCTGACAAATTAGACATTCTGAGATGGGGCTGCCCTGTAACTTCTTGCAAGTTATCTATTTGTTTAACCTGGTTCTTTGATGCTTATTTTAGAGTGTTTATGCTCCTAAATCAACTGAGGTATTCTCCTGTCTAGCCCCATCAGAGCAAAGTAGCATATATAGTATGCTAAAGACCATATTGTTGATAATGCTATGAGTTAACTTTAGATTGCTCTTTTTTAAAAAAGAATAGGTATTCAGATTCCAAAGAAGTTGCATATTTTTTCTTTAAATATGAGTGTATGTATTCATAAAAAAATAATAGCAATTGTCTTCTAAAGAAAGAAGAAAAACGTATCCAATTACATTATGTTTTGCTTGATACTTTCCCCATTTATAGCTTGAGGTTACTTTTACTGAAGTCTTAACATCATACATGTTTAGTTCAGAGGAATCTTTCTTCTGAGCAATACAATGGGATCTGATAAAATAAAAAGGGCATTGCCTCATTTGAATGAAGCAATAAAGCCACAAATTAGCAATATGACATGTACCTTTCTGAGAGGCTCACACAACATTGTTTAGTCAATTCAAAGACAAATTAGCATATAAAAGGATTGCCATCTGTTAATGTACCTTGAATTACTATCCATTCATTACAGAGCAGTACTACAGTCATTCCAAGCTGAAAGTTCAGGTAGGATACTCATTGCTTCTGATGCTGGTTGAAATTTCATAAGCTCCCATCACAAAGAGAGGAAAAGTGACTCTTGTAAGCATGGAGAATTGATTTGTTCAGGAGAATTATGAGAGAGATTAAAGTCCCAAATAATATTTAAAAAATATTCAACTAGGATAATAGAACATTTAAATAGAACATTAAACCAATATAAGTTCAGTTTCTGTCTATGTGTGCAAATACCTGCTCTGTGTCTCCCCCAAACATAGAAACTTGCATTCGCCCTTTGGAACATCTTTCCCCGAGATTGGATTAGCCTGCCCCCTGCTGGCCTTCCGCAAGGCCTTAAAATCACGATTGTGTTGCTGAGCTTGGGGATCCAGATGTGTGGCACAGCCCGTGATCTGGCGGTGTTGATTTGTCTGCTGGTTGTTTTGGTTTTCTACCTCAGTTGCTGATTATATATGTATTATTGTTACGTTGTTACAAGGTGTTTTTAAATGCTATTAGCTGCCCAGTGTCATGCATTTGAGATGGGTGGCCATATAAATTGAAATAGTAAGTATAAATAAATAAACAGTTCTCTTCAGTAATTAGTCACACTGCAGGGAGTTTTGTTTGGGTAATTTTGCAGATAAGAAGACCCTTTGTATGGAGAAATTACTCAGCCTCAGCATTCATAATTGATTCACAAAATTATTTCTGAAGATTGGTTTTTATGTGATCAAATTATTTGGTTACATGTTTGTCACTGATTTCATGCTTTTTACATTTTTTTTAATACTGTGGAAACACCTTTTGCTAAGTTCCATCAGGTTTGTGTATTCTTCACACTGAATTCTCAAGTGCTATACACCCACTCCTTGTTTAGCGACTACCTTGGTTAGCGACCATTTGCAAATACAACAGTAATAAAAATTAATTTTGTGACCAATGCGCGCATTTATGACCGAATTTTGTGTGTCTGACAACAGCGCACGTCGGAGTGAGAGAAACACTGTTATAGCTGTACAAGAGAACTTTATCTGAATGAGACAGCAGCAACCAAAGATCTTTGCAGCATCTCTCTCCCTCGCTCTCTCAGTCACGTGTTCACTTAGCAACCATGTTGCTTAATGACCTGGTTATTGGAATGGAACTCGGTTGCTAAATGAGGAGCGGGTGTAAATGGAAAAAGAAGTCCATAATGGGAAAACTGTCCCTTTGTGTCATGTTTTAAACTTCCCTTGTTTCCTTTCTAGGTCTTCTAGAATCACAATTATCTAGGCATGATCAGATGCTAAGTGTTCATGACATCCGTCTGGCTGACATGGACCTCCGATTTCAAGTCCTGGAAACAGCGAGTTACAATGGAGTATTAATCTGGAAAATTCGAGATTATAAACGTCGAAAGCAAGAGGCTGTTATGGGGAAGACTTTGTCCTTATACAGCCAACCTTTTTATACAGGATACTTTGGCTATAAGATGTGTGCCAGGGTTTACCTCAATGGAGACGGGATGGGCAAAGGGACGCACTTGTCTTTGTTCTTTGTTATAATGCGGGGAGAATATGATGCATTGCTTCCTTGGCCATTCAAGCAGAAAGTCACCCTTATGTTGATGGATCAAGGACCTTCTCGGCGCCACTTAGGAGATGCTTTCAAGCCAGACCCCAACAGCAGTAGTTTCAAGAAACCCACTGGGGAAATGAATATTGCATCTGGCTGCCCAGTCTTTGTTGCACAAACTGTTCTAGAAAATGGAACATATATTAAAGATGATACTATTTTTATTAAAGTCATAGTGGATACTTCGGATCTACCAGACCCCTGACATATAGCAGAAAGGCAGATTCAACAGAAGACAACTCCATTTGGGGCTCTTTTTTATATCTGTCTTCAATGAGAGGTCCTTAAAGCTCAGAGAGGACCACTTTATGTTAACAGAGGAAGAGTTTGGAGGTATAACTTACATAGGGTCCAATGGCAAACATAGCAACCCATTAAGAAACCATAACTGTGGTGTAATTTCTAAACTAATAGGAACACTTCAAGTTCTGACAAGTTACTTAATCCTCATGAAGACAAAGATTACTGTCAGAAAAGCTTTTTGTAATTTATTGACAATGATTTGGGGGAGGAAAAAAAACAAAGTATCCTCTGCTGAATACAACATCAGACTTTTCTTTCATTTTAACTAGAAAATAAAAGTTCACATGTGGGTTAGCTAGAAACTGTCAGCATGTTAAATAAAAAAAGAAGAAATTATGAAGTATTGTTGCAGTTAAAGATATTACTTTGAACATCTAAGTGCAATGTTGTCTGAAATACAGTATATTGTCTATTTTTAAGGCCTCATCTGGTCTCTGTTTTAAATAATTACTTTGTCAGAAGACCTTGACAAAAATGTCTAGATCTTCTTGAAAGTGTCTAAATCAGAGTCATATTTTTGTTTAGAGTTCTATTAATTGCTACAGAAAACATTTTATTTTAAAACTGTTGATAGACTGATATTTCTTGGAAGAAAAAAAAAGATCAAATGCAGGTTATCACTTGTGATATGAAAAGAGACTATTCAATACTGCTGTTATTTCTCTTTAGAAATGTAAACCTACAATATATGTCGTAGTTAATGACACTATTTCAAAATTAAGAAAAAAAAATCACTCATGGATGCTGTGCATCATTATCAGATTTATAATTTTCACCCTAAAATAGGGCATTTGTTGAACTTTGGAGTTCTAAACGGAATCCTGTATGTTTTTAAAGTTCTGCCTCATGCGCTCAGACCAAGCTCTATAAAATAGATTTGTGTATATAAACATATTATATTCTATTTTTTGCTAAAGCATAAATGTGCAACATATTTTTGGGTTTGAGAGGAGGCGTAGTGCTGAGTAATACCTATATGGGAAACTGCTAATTAATCCTCTAGATAGAAATTGCTTTATCTTATAGAGGGTCTCCGTTAGGAGAAAGCAGTGTCTTAATGGAGATATGGTGGTGTGCATGCATTCATGTGCCTTAGCTGTGATGTGCTGCTTTATAGCTCATAGTTTTGTATTCAGATTTTAATTTCAGATCATTAGAATACTCGTTTTAACTGGACTTCAGGCATAATGTGCTGACTGATCTGTAAAACCCACCAATATTTTGCAGCTTGCAGAAATGGAAGCCCAGATGTATGTTTCTGGCTTGCCAGTGTCTCCATCAATTCAGTAACATGGAATACTACTTATTCAGGTGCTATATTTTTGCTCACAATGCTCCTATGGAGCTAGGATTTCTGACAGTGCCCCTTCCCTTCAGTTTCCAAAGCAGTAGTGAAACTGCTGCATGATAAGATGCCTAGAAGTAGCAGAGCTAATCATTTCAATTTGGCTCAATTCAGAATGGTGAGAGAATAGATTCGCTAGCCAACTTACAGTGATGGTTTTCTGGCAAACTGACACCTACCCCTGCAGGGAAACCCACAGGAGCCTCCTATTTAAACAACTACCTGAGCTTTACTAGAAAGCATTCTCCAGCCTTTAAATCATGCTGATTGCAACCCACAGAATTTACTGACTTCTGTTTTAATAGTCCTTTGTGAGACTGGTAAGTCTAATGGCATAGCTTGAGCGTACACCAACCATGTGGGTGCTGCTTAATTGCATGGGTGCTGTGTAACTTGAGTGCTCCCCTAGACTGAACTGATGTGCACATGGAAAAGGAATTGTGTAGCCTGTTGTCTAGCCAGTGATGTTACATCCATTGAGCTTTCCAATTAAGTTGGGCATTATAGGCAGAGTTCATGTCTAGGACTCAGTTGAATTGTCATGTTTCATAGTTGAGTTTCTTGCCCTTGCCATTGTTCTTTATGGCTGTGCCTTCCCACGCAGTGCCTGCCAGAGGTATTTTTCTGTTAATAAATATACAGTGCATGCTGAGTGGTCCTCATGGGTTTTTTCAGCCACCTGCTTGAACACTGCCTGCTATTTGGCAGCCAGAGCATTTTGTAGCAATATGTCTTCCTGTTCTTGCCTTCTGTTATTCAGGTACTGTATTCTGTCTTTCTTATGGTTCTTAGGTGTCAACTGGTACAAATCAATGTAAGAAGGCAAGTGTTACCATTCTAGTTCTGATACAAAAGGAAGACTTCCTACTCAAGATCTATATGCCATGGTTTTATGCAGGCTGTTGCAAACCCATCACCTTCTCTTAGAGGAAAGAATTAATTGGGCTTTTGACGCTATTCTAATAGTCATGAGTATAGGCAGCTGAGCTTTTGTATATGCATTACAGAATTTTACTGAAAACAGGATTCCCTAGTGGAAATGTCCAAAGGGCTCACTACTCATAGCTTCTGCATCATGCAGTTAATGTCCTGTTGGAATGTTGTGTTATGTAATCTAGACTGTTCTAATCTGGCAGTGTTCTTTCAAAAACAGCCCTTACTCCAAAAACACTTGAAAATGCAAATAGAGTAAAAAATCAATTCTAATTCTTTTTCTTAAGTCTACAAATCGCCAATAAAGACTGGCTTATATATTCCAATTATCTGACGTGCTAACAGTTTGAAAGGTTTTTTGTTTTTTCATACACATTTAAAACACAAATTGCTTAAGTTGTCTTACTGGGCTATAAAATTAGGACTTGTGCACTTTATTAAAACTTCCTTGTTACTAAATAAGGCCAGATATCAGCATATTTATGGCACCTGTTATGGCTCCATTGCTGTAGTTATTTTTCCCACCATTATGTGAAGGTTTTTCTTATTGCCACACTCCTGTAGATCAATGCAAGTGCTGCAATTTCTGCTGCAGAGTCTCATGGCTGGTAAAAATAACCTGTCTCCCCAAAGCACAAAAGAATAAGCTCATGGTTCTTTTTTAAACCAGCACCCAGAAGGGAGGGGCAGTAGAGATGAGGATGTTCCCATTCAAAAGAAAACATACCATTCAAAAGATTAACTTGGGGTTTTCTTCTCAATATAATTTGGTGCTGGCTTTTAGAAACAAATGGTTTCTTCTTCAAAATGATCCAACTTTAACTCTGTGAACATATTCTTTGTCATCCACATTGGTTCACTAATGCTTTTGATATAGGCACAGCAAGCTAGCTAGCCACTGACAAAATTGTATTTAGTTCAGGCTACCTTATGTGATCAGAAGTAAGTTTTGTAGGATGGATAGCAAGTTACATGTTCTTGATAATAATACATTCTTTGATAAAGATGCTTAGCCAAAAGGACTGAAAGAACGCTGGTGGGCTCATATATATCTCCATTACCCTTCACAGGATGCTTGTTTGGGCCATCATGAATAGTCCCAGTTTGTGGAAGAAACTATATCCTGAAATGTAGATAAACTGAATGTGAATAGGATTCTAAATCTGAATAGGATTAGAATTTGCATTTATATGATTTACTTTATTTTGCCTTCCTTAAGGTTCTAAAATTATTTGTCAGCCCAGTTCACGTAGAGGACATATAATCTAAATTAAAATAAAACATAACAAATATTGCCATATTACCAGCTTGACTCTGATTGCCAAAAGCTACCCCATTTTATAAAGTCTTAAAATATTTTCAAAGGATGGTCAGTTTTTAATTTTATAAGTTTTTATGGAAAGTGGTTCTATAGTTGGGAAGGAGGAAAGTCCAGTCATCACTCCAAATAATAACTCTTCATGATTGATTTGGTCATTTATGCTTATGCCTTAAGAATGTATCTTTGCTTGACCCTGATTTATGTTGAGATGGGGGAGAGGGGGAGATGCCTGTAAAACCAGCCATGTTAGTATGTCTTCTGGAGAGACTGAGAGGAAAGTTTTTTTCAAAGTCCAAAGCTATTGCTCTTTTTTTAAAAAAAAAATTGTGAATATGTTATTTTTATATCTTTGGGATTTCTTTCCTAAAGGCTATTAATTGATACAACCCTTCAATGCTCCTGCTCCAAAGTTGCACTTGATATTATTTAAGCTTCTTGCATATTTTATTTTAATGGAAGTGCATAGAATTCAGTGTTAAGTAAGTTTCTGGTTATTGGTCTTTAAGGACTTCTTCACTAAGCACAGTATCAATGCTGCTACTTTTGATTACTCCACATTAGACCTCCAAGCAGCTTTGCTCCCTTATATTTTAACAAAGCACTTTAGTCTGCCATATCATACTGTATCATGCTTGCCTTTCTTTTTTTAATCCCACAGAATCCAACCCCGATTATATCAGTGCCTAAAGATCAATATGTAATCCTTCTGCATTATTTATTTGCATTATTTTACTGTTTATTTTGTTTCAGCTACTATTTACAGCAGAATTCTTAAGTAAAAATTGGGTGGATTATATGCAGCATTCATTTTCAGCCTTATATTGTAACTTTCACTGCTTTTGAGAATGTAGAATAGAAAAAAGTTGTGGTATTACAGATAATGGAATGTAACAGACCTCTTAACCTGTAAAGGTGAGATGCACTCAATTCCCTTTCAAAGCTAGCTTCCTTATACCCTGAGAAAAAGCATAAGGAATATTTGAGTATATGGAACATTGACGTTATAGCTGGCCAATCTTTTTGAATTCCAGAATTTTGGTTTAATCATACAGCCTGTCAATTGCTGAGATTATATTATTTTAAAATATGACCATTTGCCCTGGGAAACTTTAAAAGAGGAAACACTTATATTGCTTTCCCAGCCTTGTAGAGTATTGATTGTATGGTACACACCATGGCTGCTAGACAGTGGTTACTATGGGAGATATTTTCTGCACCTTGATGATTTAACAAAAATTCCAATATCTCCTGTCATTTTGATGCCTTCATACATGCGAACTATGCAAATGTATAAATAAGTGGGTAGATTTAAAACAACAGTTTAATTTCAGCTATGGGCTTAATAATTTAAGTGACATGTGTCTGAACTTTTCTCAGCTGCTATCCTCAAATTGTCCTTTAAAATTGCTTAGCAGGTGAGGGATGGTAGCAGAGCCTACGCTTTGTATTCAAAAGATTCCCCCCCCCCCATTCAGCCCTTGGCATTGTCAGTCTAAAATTATTAGACAGCAGATGCTGCTGCCCAGTCCTTGGAAAATACAGCCAGCCAGAGTAGCCAATATGGGGTAGATAAGACAATTAAGGTGATGCATATAAAGCAACTTCCTATTTTCCTAGTACAAAAATGAGGAGGCTTATGTCACAGAGAGCATGTCCTCTTGAAAAGTTTTTGTGCCAAAGTGCAAGGATATTTTGGGGTTAGTCTGCAGCAATCACTCACAAAAGAAACATTCCCAAAAGAGAGGCAGCCTGCAACCTAATGTATCATAGCCTTAGACTGCGACAAAACCATGCATTTTCATTTTTTTCAAGGAATAATTAGAAGTTTTAAAATCATATTCCAGTCATTAAACTAGTCTTTATCTGACCAGACAGTTTTCCATTTCCTACCTGCTTGTGGTGAAAGTGAGGGCTTAGGGATGCTACCAAGCTATCATTCAACTGTGAATGCTCAGGATATGTAAACTCAACTTTGCCTAATATAAAGAAGTAGCTAATTGCTGCTTTGAAACACACTTGTGTTGGATGGACTGCCATAAAGGCTAATGTGCTCTTTTTCAGACCAAAAGTGAGGGTAAAAATGGGTAGAGCAAAATAGGAACTACTGTACAAACAAATGAATTGACAGCATGGAAATATCTGCCAGCTTTCTCAGTTAATTGTGTCTAATAATTTTTTCCTGTTATCAGTCAAAAATAATTGTTAAAACCAATGAATATGGGGTTTCGGTCAACTCAAAATAGTAACATGGTGCTTGGTACATTTTTCATCTGTGCAGTGTGTTACTGATGCCAATCAAGCCTCAAAATTGCTTATTTGTGTAGAAACTGAAATTGAATGTTCTATGGAGGGAAAGTCTGTGTAGGTGCTATATAGAATACCCAGGCTGTTACCTCCTTGTGCTACCTTTAGGCCACTGAACAATGTTATTTATTGCTGCCCCATAGAAATGGGCAAGGAAACTGCTTTTATCCTGTATAACTGACTGATCAGCCATCATGCTTTGGGAACATATTTATCCAATGTACATGTTCTGATGTCCCTTTATTTTTGCAATTGATGAGATTGAGAAATTCAATATGTATATTCCAGTGTGTGCCCAACAGTAATGATAACCTGTGTCTTGATTTCATAAAATCTTCTGGTAGAGGTTTTTTTTTTTTTTTTTAATGTTTTCAGTTTTAAGGGCTTTATTGGACAAGATGAACTAAAAATATTTTTAAGTGCATGACTTAATTCTGTTCTGTCAACTTCTGCACTGTGAATATTTTAATTAAGTATTTTAAACAAAAATACATTGAGGGCTTAACTATTACTTCCTGCTTGTTAATATAAGGATCACTTCCAGCATAAATTTCTTGCATCCATTCATGGCTCCTAAAGAATATGAAAATGAGATTCATGTGAATGAATTGCTGAATTTGGTCTGCTCCTAAGAAAAAGAAAGAAATAGCTCATTTTAATAATTTTCTCCATATAGGGTAGGGCTGTGCAAATTTTAAAGTAGGTCCTTTTTTTCAACAGACTTGAGCGAAGCACCCCCTTCAAGCTGCTTCATGAAAAGATGGACCTTTTCTAAGAACAAACTGAATCAACCACATTACTTCACATTTCCTCCCTTGTGAGACCTCTTATGATTATTGCAAGTGCCAGTTAAGGCTGAGAAACAACACAAATTGCCTTGTTGTATATTGTGTGGCCTCTTCCCCTCAATGAAGGGAATTGTATCATCTCCTCATTTGAGGTCCTTCATCAAGGTGAATCTCAGTCACCGCACATAGGCATCATATACAGTCAGGATAATCATTTATTAAGAGTGAATGTAAAATATTATGCTGAAATTGATCCCTAATTTTATTGAGACTAATCCAAGATGGAAGAAAGTTGGAGCATGCAAATGGCTGCAGGATAGGGTTATCCTGTATGGTTTTGAAGTAGCATTAGGCCACAAAAAGGATGGTTTAATCCTTAATTATCTTCTAGCAAATTGGCAAGACCATGTAGCTTTTCGTCTTCCATTTCATGATAGTTTTAAGCCTGATGCTAAACATATGCTTGTGGTTCTGGTGTGATGCTAAGCTTGTAGTGCTGAAAGAGCTATGGGTATACCCCATTCCAAACACCAGTGTGTCAGGTGCATTAAAGTTTAGGATCAGGCAGTGCATATCTGTAATAGATAGTTTTTCAATAAGTAATTCCTTATTGGAAACATGCAAGCACTCCAGATTTTATAAGCATTAAATTAGAATCCCAGGTCTAGAATCCCATAGCGTATTTGAAATTACACCTGGATCTCTTTCTCCTACCCTTGCCGTATTTATCAGATGCATCCACCCATTAAGGGATGGAAATACTGCTTCTTTCCTTATAACTGCTGCTGCCACTTGTAGAAGGACTGTAATTTCTTACTAAAGGGAATTCTGATTGTGAACTGCTTGGTAAACTGGGGTTTTGAAATAAACCACTATTTTTAAGTATCTCATTCCATGCTGAGAGTATTCTGGACTTTAAGCAGAGCTATTGCATGTGAACACAATATTTTCCAACCCTGACCTCTTCTCTTGGCAGAGAGTTGATCTTTGTGCACTTGGAAAATGGGGGAAATCATTCAATTGCCAAGGCACTGAATCACCTTGTATAGTATTATTTTCCCTCTAGCTCTCTAAAATGTATATCTTCTACAATTTGTATAACTATAAGAAAATAGTTTTTTCACTGTGATCCAAAACCTCCAGTGGTTAGGAATAAATGAGGGTGTAATGGACACCCTATTTTGAAATGCTGGACTATGAATCTATTATTTATGACAAGTAGGATAACCTTTTAACATCCATAAAATGCCATTAATTCAATGTGCTGGAAAAAATGGTCATCCTTTTCCAAGAAGAAATATCTGTTAAATGCATCAGTACTATGAACTATGTACAAAATCAGTCTGTATAAACTTGTGTGGTGTTTTATTTCATATTCTATTATTTGGTAAAAGGTACATTGGTTGTGTTCAGTTTTCTGATCCAGAAACAAAGACCAAAGAAGGCCAACCTCATTTGATTGTGTATATTCTGCCTGTTTTAATTATAGATAGCTATAAAGGATACAGTGCAAGTAAGTGAATCTGGTAATCAATGATTTTTGTATGTTCTTTTTAAAGGAAAGAAAACTTTGACGTGTATAATTTATTGCTCAGCAATACAATGTTGTTAATAACTATTAGCAACATACCCTAATTTCCCAATAGCATTATTCTATGTTGTCCTTCAGTTTGTTGTATTGTTATTTGGTATTTATTTGTATTTGAAGGTCTTGCTCTGTCTTGTGTTTTGATGCTAATAATTGAGAACAGCGTGTAGAATGCAAAACTTTGAAATGCTGAACTGTATTAAAGGAAAAAAAAAATAAACCTAAGTAGGAAGTCATATTTTTTAAGAAACAGAATTGCGTTTTAATTTTATCATGTCATCTTGATGTACAAAATTAAAATATCCTTTTATCCATTTTCAATTCACTTGCTGCCTGCCAATCCCTCTTTTGCTTCATATTTCAGTGCAAGGTATGCTACAGTTCACATAACTAATAAGTAACAGTTTTTAATATGAATACATTACACTTCAAACTTTAAATTTGCACCTACAAGAAAGAATAGGCCTCTTCGTGAGCTTTCTTTTAATCTGTAAAAATCATATCTGCATCAGCTGAGTAGCCTAGTACACGTAAGACTGTTTCCTGGGTGAGGGGGGAAACAAACCTGTCAGTTTCAATTCCCAATTTGTTTATTTATTTAAAAAATAATAAAAGGACAAGGAGATGTCAACAATAAGTTGCTTTCTAAAATAAATTAATATAAAATACAGATTTACCAGAAACCTAAATCTTTGGGGTTAATTTACCAGTTCAGCTTAGAGGGGTTCCTGGACTTTATAGCATGGTCGTGACTTTTCTTGTCACCAGATATGTCAAGAGAAAGAAAACAGTGAATTTCTAGGTTACCAAGGAGAGGGCTAGTAGATCTGGTTTGCAAAAATCCAGACGATCGCCAGATGGTGGCAAAAGGTACTGAAAACTCTTGCTGCCACTTACTCATCTGGATTTTTATGGACCAGATCAGCTAGCCTTATCCAGGTAGGTGATTTAGTCTTTCAATCTGTACTTTGGAGTTATTTTCCAGGTGATTCCTACTGTGTTTAGCCTAAGACTAAGTTGTAAAGGTTGCATGCCGAGTTTGTTCTAGCTATATGGGAATATCTATCCTCTTTTGTGTAAGTTTTATAGGATAAGACATATTCAGTTAGATCCAAATGGCATCAAATGTCAAATTGAAGGAAATGATTCTGAGGGAAAAGGGGAGAGTATTAGAGTAGATTGGCGCCTAAGTGACATGAAGATCTGTTAATAGGGCTGTGTACAATTTGAAAATTATTTAGAGGTACTACAAATCCTGCACAAGTACAGCAATACTGTGCTAATTGTCAAAGTAACTTCATTTTTAGGGTTCAACTCAAGCCTGAAAAAAAAAATCATTGCTTCAAGAAATCAGTTGTTAAGATTAATGCAGCTTTAAGTAGCAGAGAGAGGTGTGCTACTTCAGAGGAGCTCTGAAGCACTCCTTTGAAATAAATTTCAAAGCATACACATGTTATTAAAATAATTGTGTTTGAATTATGTAAGTTCTTAGTATAAGCATAGATTTTTACAAACAATATTTTAACTACAAAAGTTGAAAGCCCCAAGTCATTAAAATGGGACAGTTCAAAAATAAGGTAAAGTCTCCCTCAAGTTGAACTCAAATTCTGTCCATATTGTTTTCTTGGCAACGGTATGTAAATGGTTTTTCATTAACTTTTTCAGGGAATGTTTTCAACTTCCAAGTGTTCTTTGTAAGGTAGCATTCTTTCTTTTTCACTTGTTTATGAGTTTTAAAATTGTTTAGGAATTATGGACAATAAAACTGTGACTATTAGTCATAATGGTTGTACCTTTTGCTGAAGTTTAGTTTACAGGAAGTATGCCTCAGAACATCAATAGAAGAATATTCTGTTTGTGGGATTCCCAGAGATAAATTGTCACACAGGGAAACAAAACCAACAATATTATTCTTATTTCTTATGGGTCAGGGGGTTAGACTCATATATTCCTATATGCCAGGAGGCCATCCAAGACTGCAACAGTTCACATTGCCAACTATACTTCAACGTACTTGTCAAATGGGGACACCTACTGGAAGGAGCAGCCCACCCTATACAAGTTTGTACAGACTAAAAAAATTTAGAGGTTTTGCAAAATGCTCAATCTCTTACCCTTCAGCAAATCAGGTGGGCACAATTTTCTCCTGCTCTGATTTTTACATCTCATACTTCCGAGGCTCCCAGAACAAACTTCCAGATGCCCTCTCACGTAAGCCAGAATATGAGGCCCCCTAGCCACCTCCCCTCACAACAATACTCCGGCCATGCAACTTTGAGGCACACTATAAATCAGACCAGCACAAAAAGCTGGGAGCAGGAAGACAAGCTGTTGATCTCTTTGGTTGGATTAGGGCATGGTAACAGCGGAATGCATATGCCAGGGCTCAGATGGATGGCCTCCATGGACCCAACAAGGTACTGTGATGCCTTTCAGAGAGGAGGGAGGGCAACTTGCACAATGGATGTTTATATGTGCCCCTTCCCCTAAGAGCTATTGCTCTGGGTTAACTCCACCCTTCTAGGCCTTGCAAGTTGATGTTGCCAGGTAAATATTTCTTTAATACTCAGTCCATTATACTCAGTCCTTTAAATACTCAGTCCTAACAAAAGTCCCAAAGCCTATACAACCTTTGCCTCTTTCCAAAAGTTCTTGCACTAGTTGGGATGAGGGGCTGCCTCAGTGTGCTTGCTCGTTTTTTGGTTGCGCCGAGCTCCAGGCCAAGCTCCAAGCTCTGCTCTTAAGCTGTGTTGCTTTTGAACACTCCAGTTGAGTTCCCAAGCCAAGCTCCAGGCAGGAATCCCACCAGGATATGCTGCTTACCATAGCTTGTGGTCCTGGCTTTTGACTGATAGCCCTCTTGCTTGCCTGTAATAGTTGTCAATCTCCAAACATTGCCTCCTGCTTCCCCATCTGTTTGCTGTTTTCTTATCTCCTTTTCCCCTACACACTCACTCACACTCTGTCTTAGCATTACTTTTGCAAGCTAAGGGCCTGGGTGGATATGGCTGCCTCTGGACATTGGCACATCCTTGAAAATACTAGTGTGTAGCTCAATTATCCAGGCAGCTAGAACGCCAGCATGAATGCTTGTAAGTAAACTTTGAATGAATGAATGAATGAATGAATGAATGAATGAATGAATGAATGAATGAGCCCATCTCTCAGATTGCTGGGGCTGTAAACTTTGGAAAAAAACATGAGCTGTGCTGAGCCTTGGGGAAATGGGGCGGGAGGCATTTCTGCCTGCCTGCAGCTTCTTTTCCCAGCTTCACTTTCTCACAAATAACTGGATTTTTTTTTATTAGTTTCAATGTAGGTATGAAATATAATTTTGTCTAACATGATTATCATTGAAAGTCTTCCTTTATTATTCCCTCAACCATCTTTACAATTTAATGTCTTTACTAACTGGCTCATTTTCTTCTCATTGTTTTTGTATACATCACACAAAACAATTTGCCTGCCTTGGTAAAGGGGAAAAAAAGGGTTTCCTGAAAATGTTAACATCCCTTTGTGTTGTCCCTGTCCTGCTCTGAGTGTCAAGGACATCCGGCACCCTAAAGAAATAAAGCATGGAAAATTGGGTTTATCATAAAGTGTTAAGATGTGAATTCTATAGAAAAATAGTTAATTCCTCTATTTTGAGAAGACAGAATCAAACTAAGGCTTAAGTCATATTTGGAGAGGAGAGGGCCTCTAAGTCATCACTGATCTTCAGCATAGATTATGTTATAGGAAAAAAACAAACAAACCCTAATCAACAGAACATTCAACAAGAGAAAATAGGACAGGAGAAGGGATAGGATAGGAGAAAAGGGACAGAAAAAAAAGGGAATTCCTCAAAAACCTTGACTAATGATGCCTTGAACACTACTCAGATCCAATGGGAATAAACCATATTTATCCCACAACTGGCTGAACTCAAGCTCCACTCCTTGCTCAGCAAAAACAAATTTCATTCCTTTCTCAAGTTAGTGGGAGGGTAGAGCACATGGGAAAGGGATGTGGGAAATCATTTTCATGGATCTGCTTCAAGAAACCTGAAGCAAAATGAGGAATCAGTTGAGGAACACCAATCAATTGTGCAGTGGAGGATCAAGGTTGAAGAACTGATTCAGGTGGCTGTTCTGCATTTGTAGTTATGGCAGCAGAGAAAGTGTTCCCATTGCAAAATTTGTTGTGTTACTTTGTGAGCAGGAAGACTTTACTTCTCTCTTGTAAATTAGGGCAGTTCATTATCTAACTCAGTGATTCTAACTCCCAGAATTCTGAGAGCTGAAGACCTCACATCTTAAAATTGCTGAGGCTGAGAAACACTGATCCAACTCACTTGTTGTTAGTGAACCTCAGTGTCTTGCTTTGCATGCCTCTGATACAAGAAAAAAAACAGCCTGTTGGCTCTCTGGAATGTAGAGTCCTAGTGTATATCCTGACTCTGTTCAATGTTATGCTTCATCTTACTGGGAAGATAGAACTTGAAGTAGAAGGCAGGTAATGCTAAAGTTGCAGGGGCTTGGGAAAACTACAGAGCAACAACAACAACACATCAGAAAACAAATGCTTTTCTCTTTGTTTTCTCAGAATAACTTTGAGACTTTTTTTCTAAATAATTGTGAGGGGAAACTAAAAAGTAAATTACAAAATATTTTCTGTTAGAATGAGGAGTAATGTATTAATACAAAGTATTAATATACTGAAACTCTTTATTTTCCCAATGAAATATCTGAAAACTATCCATTAGGAAGGTTTTTTTACACAACATCATTACAGGTAGTCCTCAACTTACGACCATTTGTTTTAATGACCATTCAAAGTTATGATGGCACTGAAAATGTGACTTATGACTGGTCCTCACACTTACGACCATTGCAGCAACCCTGTGGTCATGTGATCAAAATTCAGGTGCTTGGCAACCAGCATGTATTTACAACAGTTGCAGCATCCTGGAGTCACATGATCACCATTTCAACATTCCCAGGGGACTTCTGACAAGCAAAGTCAATGGGGGAAGCTGGTTTCGCTTAACAACCATGTGATTCTCTTAATGATCATGATGATTCAGTTAATGGGTAAGCGGAAAAGTTCGTAAAATCGGGCACAACTCACTTAATAACCTCATTGTTTATGTCAGGGGAAAAACCACGTTAAACACGGGAGGCAGACACACCATAAAACAAGT